AAATCAAAGTCGTTAGAATAAAGGAAATGATGACGAATATTTAAGAAGCTCTTGATTGCTTAACAAATTCTCCTTGTCAGCACCTGAGGGAATGTACAGAGAACAGTGTGAAGAGAATGCATATCGATATCAAGGTGTAAAGGGTTAAGAAGTATGATTTCCTAGCGACCTGTCATTGTTTTTCCTTTTTCTTTGGTTTTTGTAGACGTGAATATTACCTCTAACTGGCTTGGTTACATCGTGATATGGTACACAGAAGGCCCAGACAACTCGGACGAAATTTTTGGGAATACAAGTTGCAAACTGGTGCCCAAGGTGAGAACATTTTTTTTTGTACGTTACCAAAGAGTGCGAGCACGTCCTCATTATTAGCACTTCGGTACGAGCATTCCTTCGCTCGCGAGTAAGCCCGAAGCCAGCCTTGAGGAATGGGAGTCGGCAAGAGGTCTGTAAGGGGTGTATCACTGAAAATGAAGTAGACCCTCGCAAAAAGTCTCCCCGACTCGTCTCAGGTCTTCCCGCGGGCGGAGAAACGGCGTCCTGCAGGGCTCATGATGAAGGTATGCTTGCAAGCTACCACAGAATTGAAAAACAAATCGAAGAAAAACAAGCATAATAGACGAAGTTTTGCACATATATCAGTTCAGATGAAATCCAGTCCTAATGCTTGTTTTGAGTCACGAGCTCAGAGTCATCCAGATGTGCGGTTTTTGTAAGACATGGCGAGGTACTTCGTGATATTTTCTATAATAGTTATTACGTATTGATGACCCGGGTTCCGAAAATGGCACCGGCTGAATAAAAAGTCAAAATTCATCAAAAATATCTTGATAGAAACTACCTGAAGCATTAAGTTTAAAAAAATGTTTGAAGATCTTCATCCCCAATTTTCTTTAAGGAAGCATTCGTTTCCTTCTCGCGGCTAAACTCTGACTGTCACTCTGTAATGGAAAAAAAAAATAGCCCAATTAATCACAATTCACTTCCTGTTTGAATTTAAGCCAATAACGTTCTTACTTCATGTTTTTTCTTCGCCTTTTTCAGACTAGACCACACCTTGACATCAGCGAAACGGATGGATGGAAATACCCCAACACTCTTTACCTTACTGTGAGTGAATCCCTCTGTTGAGATCTCAACGCGCCCAAAAAATAGTTACATCCCAGTCTCAGAAATGAACTTGCTCCTATTCTTTCAAGATTTTTTATATTTTGGTATGCTCTCACTCTGACTTTGCTTTTCCTTCTTCCCGCCTCAAATAGTTTACTACTCGCGGTGGAAAAACTTTTCCTTTAACATCTTACATGCTTGAATTTTTACATTATTTGTATCATTACTTTTTTCCTTCAGGTTGTTGCTTTGCCCACCAATAAACTTGAATTCCCATTGGAAGACTATACACCACTCAGAACAGGTACTAAAGTAGACTGTCATGTATTCTGCATCAATTGCTATTCCTCAATATTAATTGGTTAATTTATTCATCCATCGATCCATCGATCCATCGATCCATCGATCCATCGATCCATCGATCCATCGATCCATCGATCCATCGATCCATCGATCCATCGATCCATCGATCCATCGATCCATCGATCCATCGATCCATCGATCCATCGATCCATCGATCCATCGATCCATCGATCCATCGATCCATCGATCCATCGATCCATCGATCCATCGATCCATCGATCCATCGATCCATCGATCCATCGATCCATCGATCCATCGATCCATCGATCCATCGATCCAGCGATCCAGCGATCCATCCATAAATTACTGTGTTTGTGCGTCCGCCGGTCCGTTCGTACTTTTTCTGTTCACAATTGGTTCATTTGTTAGTTAGGCCTGGATTTCTTACTGCTGCCATTTTCTCAAAATTTTGTATGCTTTTAGGTTGGAGGAATGTGAAAGTATACAGTCCAGCTAATTACTCTGAAGGTAATTAACAGTTTGGATCCTTACCGTGTGATACTATCTTATTTTTCTTGATTTTATGCTGATAGCGTCTCAGGAAGAAAGGGCGACCTTGCCATGACCTGAATGAAAGAGTTATTACGCAGTTGGCAGAACCACATAAGAATAAACTCGAAAGCGAAAACTCAAACCATTTATTAGCAGGGATTCCGATTATAATCCACGAATTTTCCCATGATCGAACCGAGTAAACATCCAATTTTGACAGTAGAGTAGGTTTTCGATGAACAGAAAATTACACCTCAGCGAGCGAAATTACAGTGTGCATAAAATACGATAAAACTTACCGAATGTTTCGAGTTTAGAGTGACCAACAACAACAACAATTTTAGGTTACAAAATATGTCAGTACAAACACGACTAGCTCTTTTTCGACAAACACATGGTCCATTTCCTGAACGCTGACGTAAAAATGTAGGCACGCAAGTGGAGCTACAAGAGTGAACAGGGAGAGGGGCGCCTCCCAGCAATGTAAGCCATAGAGTTATGTGTCGCCCAAGTGGGTATGTTTTTTGAGTGGTTATATTTTGAAAAAGGGTATGAAATTTGAATGTGATGGTCTTAAATTGGAAATGGTTTTCAAAGGAATAACGAACATGAATTTAGGTCTTTGATTGGAAAAAAAAGAAAGAGAACTGACCAAAATACATCATTCGAGCTGAATTTTCAAATGAGTTTTACCAATTCGTGGCGTTCTGAAGAGGGCCTGAAACACAGCAGGGATAGGTTTAAAAATGAGGTTTAAAAAGGGATGTTTGGGCCTGGAAAGGGGTTAGGATTAATAACCCCAAGAGTATAACCTGGGATTAAAGATTCTCTTTTATTTCTCAAAACTTAAATCAATCATTTGCAAAACTAAAAACAATAGTGACTTTGTCGCCCGCGTTTTCCCGCGCTTTAGGCAGTTTGGTTGTTTTTTTACGTTGAGTTCTAAATGGCCCTTAAAGATATTTTCCTTTATTTTAATTGGCCTTTGTGGTTACTTTGGTTTTTGCTTTACGACACCCAATCCAATAGCGCTGTAAGAGCCAATGAGAACAAAAAGTAAAACTGAAAAAAATGCCTAAAGCGCGGAAAAACGCGGGCGACCAAGTCGTGATTGGTTTAAATTTTGCATCTGATTGGTTGAGAGAGTGGCGCGAGTTTTCTGGACCAATCACAGAGCAAATTAAAGCAAAAACAGAGCAATCCCGGATTACTTTTGACGCTCAGTTGAAAATTGCTCCATTTCACTGACCGAAAAAGTGTTTTATTGAAACTTTTTTACTAACATGCATCAAATATTTCAGGTAATAAAATTTTCGAAGAGAAATCCTTTCTGATGATTCTTGCTGGAGTTTTGACGGGCTTTTCCTTGATTCTGATTGTGTACATCTGCGTTACCAGGCGAAAGGCCTGCACCAGGGGCAAACTGGTCTTAACAACCGAGAAAAAAGCACGAGAGAAAGAAGACGAGCTAAAGAGTGATCTGTTTGTGATTCAAAACCCTTGTTCTGATGTTAAGCAGTTCGTGTAGTTTTATGGCTTTCACTGCGTTTAACGTGTATATTTTATGGTAAATTTTTATACTGTTAATATAATACGTGTTTTTCATAAGTTTCTCTAAGCCGCAAGGCGGTTTGATTTCCTTTTTCATCAACTTTTATGAAAAGAGGTAAACAGGAATATATTAAAAACTGAAAATAACAGGAAGTTTTTGGCGTACTTAAAGATCTCTCTCATCATCTTAATGCATTTAAATCTTTGTATTGTTCTAGTTAAGCTATACAAAGAGAAACGAAGAGTTTCTTCTTTCTTCTCATTGCTCGGGGCTTGAAGAAATCGCGAAGAAAGTAACTGGCTTAGTTGGTCTGAAAGATAGGGGTAGTTTTTATGTTTGAAATGGTCTCGGAGTTTTCTTATACTTTTATATTCATGTATTGTTTATCATCAAAGCGACGCTTAAAGAGAAACAGTCGTGACTTGGCAATTAAACCACCCACAAGATTAGGTCAACGATAGTGTTATAAGCAAAAGATTGTAATTTTGGTAGTTACAGAAAAATAAATTGATAACATAAAATAAAAGCAAATGTTAGTATTTTTTTTGTTTTTTGCTTCACAAGTGTAATAAATATCAGGGTGAAGTGACGGGGAGGGTGCCCTGGGAACCCTTGGCCCCTCCCCCTCGTGAGATAATTGTGACATTCCTGGTGCTCTTGTCAAGTCTGCCATAGTCAAACGTCAAAGATGGCCGCTTTTCTCTTGTCCTGTTAACGAGCGGCCATTTTGATTAACCACAGACAAGCAAATGGCATATCCTAGAATACTGAAAAATGAGCAACTTTTTGAAGCTTTGGTTTTACTGTCCGATATTCTGGTACTGATTTATTCCCCAAATTAGGTCTGAGAAATTTTCAAGACTTCATATCCAGCTCGTCCTTCACCGGGTCTCCAAACGACCGTAACAAATAAATCTGTTTTTTTTTCTCTCTCTCTCTCTCTCTTTTTTTATTATTATTTTTTTATGTGCCACACCAGGAGCAGCTCCTGACCACATACAGGAAACAAATACGAGCATTTAATTAGGCACCCTTGATTTGTTAGTCCAAAGTTTAACCAGTTGGTTATTGTTTCAGGCGAGAAGATTAAGTGTTAAGTCTGAGGAAAATTCCAACGTCTCTCCAAAAGCTCCCTCTTTGTTAAACCTCTCTCTAGTAACCCCCCTCTCAAATAATCCCAACCCCCTCGCGACTCCGTCTGGAACCTCAGGTCTAACTCCCCACCCCTCCTCCCTCTTCCCCCTTCCATCAAAGATAGCCTCCAAAGTACAAAAAGAAAATTTAAGCGAAATGCGGGCTCACTAAAAGTATTTGAGTTGTAAGGTATGCTGTCTCTACTTCTTTCATGGATACTGATTTCCAAGCCAAACTCCCCTAAAAAAAACTCCCCAAACTAACCCTAACCCTAACCATCCGAGAAGCATGGGTTTGATGGCCAAAGAAATAAGAGAAGGTCTGGGAACTAGGTTAGGCCAGCAATCCATCATGGCGGACGGCGATGGCAAGCCAGCTGGAACAGAACAACCAGGTAAAAGTTGAAATCTTGCTCCGGTTTAGTGTGCATTTTAATATAATTTCTTTTGAAAACATTGATATATCCTAATATTTTTGAAAGGTGGCAGCAAGAAAAGAAACTACAGGAAAGACAAGCGTAAGTCTAAAGTTTTATACATGCACGTGTATCACAACTTTAAAAACATTCATGCTCAAATTAAACTTAGATAAACTTGAGACAGAAAATGTCTCGTGTAGGGTTCAACCCAAATCAACTTTCATTTTATTATACGTCCTGTAAACTTTAAGAATGTGATCGTTTAGTGTTTAATTTGAAGCGTGAATAGTCTTTGTGTTGTCATTGATCCTCAGATATATTTGATAGATTTGATTTACTTGATGCATACACGTTTGTTGATCTTTTCGTTCCATGTTTTCTTAGCCTGGGATCACGAGGGAATTGACCATTGGAAAATCGAGCCATTCTCAAATGAAGACAATCCTCATGGCATGATAGAGGAGAGTTCGTTTGCAACTTTGTTTCCAAAATATAGAGAAAAATACTTGCGGGAATTCTGGCCTTTGGTGGAAAAGAAGTTGAAAGAATCTGTAAGTTTATTCATACGCTCAAGACACTCACGTGTGAATAATGAACCTTTGGTACAAAAGAAATTGTTAGAAATGTGAACTTGCTCTTATGGAGTCCACTGTTGATTTATTAAAAATAATTATCATGGCTAGATGGAACACATGTGCTGGTGACAGATCATGGAAAAATTTAGAAAACCATTTTAAATGAATGCCTATACTGTTACTGGAGTGTTGAGGAATGTCTGGTGAGAGACAGGCTGGCTGAGAAGTGTGAGCAATTTCCTGCTAATGCAAAGGCTCAAGTTTGATTCCTTACCTTAGCATCACAAGTGGGTTGATTTTGTAGTTAGTTTTCAGAGTTGTGTACAAGTCTCAGTGGCTGCCTTCCCTTAAGCCTTTGGCCTGTAAGAGTTACTAGAATCTTTTTTCCTCTTACAATATCACCCCCTGAATCACACACTAAGGTCATGAGAATGAAGAAAATGATCATTGACTTAAGGAGCTCTAGATTGTTAAACAAATTCTCCTTGTCAGCACCTCAGGAAATGTATAGAGAACAGTATGGAGAATATGCATACTGATGTTAGGGTGTAAAGGGTTAACAGAAACCAATGCTCAAGTCAAATTCAGATTTGATTTTAAATCTGTGGACCAAGAACCACTCCATGGATATGCAGGCATTGATTTTCATCTAGTTGTTTATTTTTTCAAGATTTTTTTAAAAATACTTTCAGGGGTTAAAGTGTCAGCTTGATGTTATTGAAGGAAGCATGACAGTAAGTACAACACGGAAGACGTGGGATCCTTATATCATCATCAAGGCCAGAGATATGATCAAACTTATGGCAAGAAGTGTTCCATTTGAGCAGGTTTGTGATCCAAGTTAGGGTACTAACATTTACCGCATGGTAAGAACTAATTATTGATATCAACCCTTTGACCACTAAGAGTGATTGGCATCTAATTTCTCCTTACAATATCACCCCTGAATCAAACATTAGGGTCGCAAGAATAAAGGAAATGATAACCAACTAAAGAAGCTCTTGATTGTTAAACAAATATTCCTTGTGACTATTAACCTTTATAAGATAGCCTAAGAGCTTTTTGAGATAAAAATCCCACCCCTTTTTTTTTTCTTTTCTTCAGGCTCAGCGTGTTTTAGAAGATGATGTTGCATGTGACATTATAAAGATAGGATCCTTAGTTCGTAACAGAGAAAGGTTTGTAAAGAGAAGACAGAGGCTTCTTGGTCCAAATGGGGCAACACTAAAGGTCAGTGAGATGGTTTGTTTGACAGATTTTATGTTACAAACCAATCTGGGTAGTGAATCTCGAAAAGCACTGCATTTATTTTGTCTGTTGTAATTCATTTCAATCCTCTCCATCTTTGACTTCATTGTTTCTATTGGTTAACCACAATTGCCTCCATCTTTTTGTATTACTTTAGTCACATTATTTACCAAATGAGTTATTATTTTAATTTTAGTCTTATTTCAGAGGACTTACGTTTAAAATATATTTGTCTCCTAAAGGCTCTTGAATTACTCACACAATGTTATATCATGGTACAAGGCAATACTGTGGCATCCCTTGGTCCATACAAAGGACTTAAACAGGTGAGAGAATCTTCCTTGTTCTTTTGAATATAACTGATTTTATGTCTCATTTTTGAAGTTTGATTTTATGTACAAGAGTGGAGTCTTTGTTCAAAGTCCTGTTTGTTTTTTGTTTCGAAAAAATTTAACTGGGTACAAACATAGGCTAGATCATCAAATTGTGTTTAACCCTTGAACTCCCAGAAGTGATTGACCTGTAACTTCTCCCTGTAAATCCATTCATCATCTAGCAAAGAGGTAACAAGAATACTTAAACTAATCAGGTAGAGGTTGTTTTCTTGATTTAACACCAAATTCATGTAACTTATTATTTAAAAGGAAATGTGTAGCAGCTAGAAGGGAGAATTAACAATCGGATCTTGGGAGTGAAAGGCTTAACCCTTGAACTTCCAAGATATGATTGTTACTTCTCTCCACTAGCTACTGCACATTTCTTTATCAATTAATTAGCCTAAGGAGAATTTAGTGTTATTTTAAGATACAACTTCTTCCTGTTAAGTTTGGGTATTCTCATGACCTGTTTGCTGGATAATGTACAGATATCATTGGAAGAAGTTACTTGTTAATCACCCTTGGCAGTATAATGTTTGATTTCAGCCTGGACGATCTTGATCCTTATTCTGTTTATACGCCGAAGGTTTCAAAGGGATGGTGTTGGTTTAATATTTACAGTACTTGAAGGCCCTGAATTGAGAGATGTAGGGGTTTACAAACCCTTTTACCCCTGGCAGCTAATTTTTTCCTTCAACATCACCCTTAAATCACACATTACAGGGTGTGAAATTGCGCCTAATACAGGCGCCAATGTGCCTAAATTTTTCACTTTGGTGACCACTTTGTAGCACGTTAATTTTGGAGGGTCTATCTAGAACGCTGACAGCGTAAAGAAAGATTTTGTTTGTCTTTGAAAATGGCAACCAATTTTTTTTGAATTGGCTACCACTTTGAAGAATTTAGGAGCTAAGTGGCTATCAGAAAAAAAAGTTAATTTCATGCCCTGCATTATGGTAAGGAGAATAAAGAAGATGATCACCAACTAAAGAAGTTCTTGATTGTTGAACAAATTCTCCTTGTCAACACATTAGGAAATGTGGGGAGAACAGTATGGAGATTATGTATAATGATATAAAGGTGTGAGGGTTTAAGTAAACAACACTAGACTTGTATCCCATCCAAGAAAGGTCTCAATATGTCTTGTTGCCACATGCTTCCATCAGAAGTTTGGATAAGCATCAACTATCACAGGGCAACCTGCTTCTTGAAATTTATACCAAAATTGTGAAGTGCTGATTTTCCTTTTTTCATCAGGTGCGTAAAGTGGTGGAAGATACAATGAAAAACATTCATCCGATTTATAACATCAAGGTTTGTGCGAATTTGTTGAAAATGGTTTCAATTTTGTAATGGCAATAGATGGTACATTTTTACATGACTGAGGATTGATAATTTAAAATACAGGACTTCCCAAGATCTCAGGGAGCCTATAAATCAAATTTTAATGAACAGTTTTTTCATAGTGATGTACCTGGCTCTTTTCTCACTTGTAGACACTGATGATCAAAAGAGAGCTAGCTAAAGATCCAGAGTTAAAAAATGAATCTTGGGACAGATTTTTACCCAAGTTTAGACAGACCACCACAAAGAAGGTGAAGAAAGCCAAGTTCAAGAAGAAGGAATATACTCCATTCCCTCCACCTCAAACAGAGAGCAAGGTAACACAAATAATTTTAGTTCAAATCATACTTACCAAGACATTGCTTCCCTATGCATAACTTTTTTTATGCATAGGGAAGTATCAGGTGTGTGCTTTTTATTGAAATTTAAGAGCATGAAATTTCTTTTATTATGGAGAATTACTTTTCCATATCAGGGACCCTACCCTCCCTCCCCTCCCCTCCCTTTCTTTTAGTTATGATTTGAGACCTGAGACCAAAGAATTTGGATTTGGTTGGAAACATAGAATGTGGGAGACACTACAGAGACATAATGGTTAGCACTAGAGTGGGCATTGAGAGTTCTGTGTTTGAGACATGGCTGCAACATTTTGGGCATGAACTATATTCTCACAGTGCCTTCTTGACTCAGGAGTGTTAATGGGTACTTTTGAACTGCTAGAGAAGCCTAACAAAATACTAGAGTGTGACCTCCAAAGGACTGGTAACATCCCATCTCTTATGAGTGGCAACAGTCCTAGTTCCTTTACGCTGCAAAGATTGAGACAAGTTTTGGGAACTTGTACATGTAGGCTGCTTTGCTTTAGAAGCATGACAATGATTAGTTTTGGTGTTTTTAGAGGGACATTATTTTTCAAAGTGCACTTTTTGCAGAACATTAAGCCAACTTTTGACTCATTGATGTGACATGCACATGGGAAAAGCAAATAACTCCACACTGGTTGTCACACTAATTGACATATTGACTCTGAAGATTTGTTTTCTTCTTTTAGATTGATAAACAGTTAGCCAGCGGTGAATACTTTCTACAAGAAAAAGAAAGGAGACTGAAAGCTCAACAGGAAAAGAAGGTAGAGATTACACCTGAATGATGATAGTTCCTACATGTACAATTCTTCAGTCTTTTGCTCTCAATTCTGGATCACATAGTTATAGTTCAAGTCTCCACTTACTCTCGTTTCTCCACAAGAGCCACAACAGTAATGGCTATCAAAGAGTATCCTGACTTCCAAAATAACCTCTCAACATCAGGCAATTAACCCTTTAACTCCCAAGAGTGACTGATATCTTATTTCTCCTTACAGTATAAGTGCTAAATCAAACATTAAGGTGATGAGAATAAACAAAATGATCACCAAGTTAAGAACCTCTGAGTTTTGATCAGATTACATAGTTGTTTACTACACTGAGTATTTTACATAACATTGAATAGAGAATAATGCATGGAGGCACATAGATATGGAATTTCTCACATGTGAGTGCAGAGAATGAGTGAAGTATGGAGTTGTACACAAGAAGAGAAATTCTTTATCAACAAGCAACCAAGTATTATTTTGTGTATTATATAATCATCATGGGCAAGACAAGAAAATTCAACAAATGACCTTGGATTGATAATAGTGAATGCTTGGCCACTCATTCATCAAACTGATTTATAACATAGCTAGTAAATTTGTCTAATCAAATTCAATTGTGTGAGCGTGCTTCATATTCCTATTGTGCATGCTCATGACGTCAGCAAACATATCCCTCAAGAAAAAAATTTTCCATTGGGTTGAAAATGTTATAAAACAATTGGTTCATACGTCAGCTGTGCATTCATTGAGATATGAAGCACTTGGGAAGTTTAGAGAGCACTCAAGAAGCTGGAGTTGCTCGAGGCATTTCGTGCTCTCCAAACTTCCTGTGTGCTTCATATCTTGATGAACGCACAGCTGACGTATGAACCAATTGTTAAACAATGGCCCAAAAGGAGAGTGACATGTCAGCAGTTGATTGGCATAATCAAACACACTTAGAAAATTATCATCAATTTGCAAATGTGCAGTTACAGCTATTCTCTTGGCTGGAAATCCTTGTGAAACATTGTAGTTCATATAACAAAGATATTTAAACTTTGAACAAGAAAGCTTTCCTGCGACATCCTACATCCTTGTGTTGGCCACTTCTCTGAAATGGCTGTTTTCTTCTCTCTCTCAAAGGTGGCTGTTGTATATCTTTTTGACTGTACTTGTGGTTGATAGTTTGAGCTTAAAATCAATCCTTATTGCATGATATTTTGACCAACAGAACCGTCAAGTGGCTGCAGAAGGAAAGCGAAAAGCTCAACGGGAGCAGGCATTCATTCCACCTGTGGAGGAAAAACCTAAACAAGAAAACAAGAAGAAAGGTGAGATCCACAGGCTGTACATGCCCACCTAGAAAAAGAAATATACTCAAGCACAGCCCTAATTTCTAGCACTTAGCACTGCAGGACAAGTGTTTTTCTACTGCTGGAAGATTTGAGACAGGTCAAGGAGAGGTCTTCCAAGGGTCTGGCACTAATCATCTCATAATTAGTGCCAGTGCCTTTGCAGACCTCTCCATAGTTTGCTATACTCAAAGACTCAGACTTTCTCACTGGCAAAGAAACTATTGCATTGCTTGAATTGTTGTTCTCTCTTTTGTAGCTTTTACAACCTAACTACTCATCACTTATTAGCAATAGTCTTTGTGATAAGCTTCCACTAAGGAAAGAAGTACTCGTAACTGTCAGCATTGATGTGCCTATTTTGCCTAAAAAAAATTTATTTTTAAAATGATGATTGTAGCAAATGACAGCAAAGTGGATGTGGAAGCCTTCAAAAAGAAAATAAAAAATTCACAGGTAAGATGGTTATTTATTGGCTTAACCTTTTCTTCTTTACTATACATACATGTATGGTGAAATTATTTTGCTTGCTAGACAAAAAAAATTAGACTCTCAATACTAACATTAGTTTGAATGTTGTCACTTCAATGTAATTTGCAGTTATTTAACTGGTAAACAGGAGTTGAGCAGTTTTAAAATAAATCCTTTCATCTCCAGACAATTTCCTCTATTTAGTTTTAAATTTTTTCCATATCTCTCTTCCTTTTTTTTGACAGAAAAGAAAAGTTGCTGAAACAAGCAAAACAGTAGCTCCCACGAAAAGTAAAAAGGTCAAAAGATAAGAATGTAAATAGTGTATTATCGGAAATCAATTTATGGAAATAGACATGCTTTTTGGCCCCCCCTCTTCCCCCCCCCCCCATAAAATGCTGTTGCTGTAGTCTACTATGGTGTCAGAGGAGTTTTCCACAGAGGGATTTTGCAGTCAAGGTCATCACCTTAATATTTGAGAAGATAGCAACAAATGACAAATTCCATGGTGCTCATCTAAGACAATTGTGTAGTGAGGATCAAAGACAATGTTCTATTTGTTCAGTTTTCTTAAATTTAATACACTTTCTCTTTACTGTTATTTTATTTGATGTGCAACCTTCCACTTCAGTTCCATTTTCATTGCCAGCTTTGTTACTTTTTTTAAAAGTGTTCAATGCCATCAAGATGAATGATCGTCAATTGATATCAATAGCAGTACAGTAAGAAAGGATGGATTTAACACTGTTTTATGTAGTGTTTATTGAGAACCTTTTATATTCAAAGTGAGTACTTCTTTTAATATGTAATTTACTTGAACAAGCTGAAACTATTTAAAGCTTGAATTCAAATCTGTGGCAAGGGCAGGTGTTTTAGAATCATGTTCAAATAAATTCTTTTGAACCTCTGTATTTTGTTTACCTTCAACTGGCAGTTTAAACCACAAATGCAGATGCAAAGGTGTCGGGGTCACACAGTAGCTACCATAACCCTCTACAACCTAACATTAGTATGCATATTCTCCAAACTGTCCTTTATACATTTCCAAGGGTGCAAACAAAGAGAATTTGTTTCACAATCAAGAGCTGCCTTAGTTGGGGATCATTTCCTCTACTCTCAGTACCTTTATGTTTTGATTCAGGGGTGATATTGTGAGGAGAAATTAGATGTTAGTCACTCTCTTACATGTTAACTGCTCACAAGCCAGATTAGACTGTAAGCAAACTAGGACGTACAAATTACGTTTTGAAACTTGCTCTTGCAACCATACCAGCCTGCGTTTTGCACTGTCCATTGGACCTCTGCTCGCATAGGTGAACTATTTTTCAACAAGGTCCTTTGATAAGTATCGTATTGCAAACTTGGATTCAAGTCTTGCGCTCAAATCTTTCGTACAAACGCCACGGAGACGCCTAACATAATCCTGCTCAAAAAGACTGGGTCGAGTGATGTGAAGGTTTCGTGACCCCAACGTCCTTCCAGTTCAAACAGTGAGACTCTTGTTTTGAAGGATTTCCAAAATTGCTAGGTAAGTTCTTTGCTGTTATTGTGTGTACAAGTGGATGCCTGGATAATATACCGTCTTTTTCCGGTTTAATAGCTGAGAGATTAGGAATAGGCTTTGGCGGTGAAATTGCACACGATGCGAGATGGCGGTTCCTCTGGCATTTGTGTTGGCTACGATTTCGCTTTACTATTGGAAACACGATCTAGTTAGTCAATCTTGATCCTTATTCTGTGGTTTAACCGTAAGAGTAATGTTGGCGACCAAATTGTAACAACTTCATGCGTTGATACAGCCAGATATCTAATTTTTTAAATTGGGGTGTTAAAATGAATGTAGGTGACGCCGGCTTGATTTCCGTTGTTTGCTCGTCTATGCTTTCTTCACTTCCGACCATGGTTCCTCGCGTTTCACCGACGTTTGGCCATAATGTAAAATGTGCAAGCTTAAATTTTTCAAGTTCGAATTCTTCAATATACATTTAAGTCTACAGCTGGCACTTATGCTAAAGTAATGAATTCCGAGGCATCCTTTGATCGTTATGTTTAATTTGAAAACATTTACCTTTTGGAAAGGCCATCTGATTAGTATTATTGTTTTCCAGAAAGGTCTTAGGCTCGTTGTCAAGTTTTAAACCTTTGTCCACTTAATAGTAACAATTTGATTTGAGGGCAAAATACAGGATAAGCAATGCTTTACTATACCTGTTCAGTTCTGCGCTATGTGAATAAGTTTGAATCCAACCGAATTTTTTATGCTTTTGAATAACTTGATGATCACTGGACAATAGTCAGATTTTTGGGATTGAAGTCAGCAGTTATGGCGGACAGAAATAACAAAAATGACAGCATATGCGCCTTTTTCTTTTCAGAATGCAGTCCTGCTCAAAAGCCACGGGGATACCACACTGCCGCGAGTACTGTGATGGGAATGTTGCAGAGTTTTATTGTCCAGAATGTGCTGCCTTGTTTTGCAGTTGTTGCTATGAAAGAGAACATTGTGGAAGCGAACGGAAAGCTCAGCATGGGAAATTAACTGAACTTAGAGCAATTTGCAGTGAGCACAAACACACTCTTGATTATTTTAACCTGACCCTGCTTCAACCAATGTGCATCATTTGCAAAAAGGAGAGCGTCCTTTCACCTGAACGTGCAAACCATGTTATTGAACACATAGAAACAATTGTACCAAAACTGAGATCTCTCATGGAAAAGAAATTACAAGATGCTACTGAATCAATTGGAAAAATAGCATGTCAACTCACCAATGTTGAAACTTCAGCTCGCAGTGGGATGAATGCTTCAATCAGCCATGTTCAGTGCTGTTTTGCCAAGTTGCGGCAGATACTGGATGAGAGGGAAGCCCAACTCATGCAAGATACGAAAAAGTATTTTGATGAGTTCCTGGAAAGTGGTGAAGGAATAGTACAAGCAAGAAACACATTAAGAAATCTCAGGGCTCTCTCTGAGGAAGGTACCATGTATAAAATTTTGAGCATAAAGTAGTGTAATTTCCTTCAACTCCAGTGGTGTCTTCTGAAGGAATCATGATAATTTTCAGTCGGTAGAATGTACTGGCATAAACTAATATAACAGATGATACCAATGCACTCAATGTCCACTCAGTTCTGAATAGGGGTGCTAAAAATGTTCTCCCAAAATGAGTGGCATTTTCACATTTAAAACATCCAAAATGAATTCTACAATTAGTTAATCAGTGGCTCTGTCTCGCACAGTATCATTGTGTTCTGATTTTTTTTTTTTAAAGGCTTTTTTGCTTGAACCCAGTACATTGCAAGTGACACATTCTTAGTCAATCAGGATCAAGTGATTGTACCATCTTTACGTTAACATAAATAGATAGTTCTTTTTTCTTCAAGTATGCCTGCCTCATCACCTGAAAACATCATCTTTCACTATGAAAAAAATAATTCCTGAATGTATCAGTTAATCAGAAGCAAAAAATTTTGCCCTCTCTCTGTGATGCTAGTAAACACCTATCAGTTAAAGTATCAACCTTTCACTTGAACACTTCTCTATAAGACTTAGGTGAGAGACAAGAGGGAAACTTTTTGATGACAAGTTCATGACAATTTTCTTCTTGTAATTTTGTTGATAGGAAAATTGCTTTTGAATAAAGATCCTAGAAGCCTTGTGGTAGAATTTCCAGCAGTCTTCATGCGTCTCAAAGAACTGTGTGCTTTAACAGCCAATGAATGCCAGATGAAAAGCCTTAAAATTGCAATTTATTTCGGACAAGACATAGTAAAACAGCTTAGACAAGCTGGGGTTATGAGTGCACAGTATTCTTCTCTGCCTAAAGGTAAGTGGAAACAGGGCACAAAACCTAAAAAAAAATAATTCGTTAACTTTTGGCTCCTAGCTACTAAAATGAGGAAAATAGTCACCAATTTGAAAGCCACATCTGTATGTACCTGTTAGTACCACAAGTACTAGGTGTTTTTCAAGCCTGAATGATATATGAAGTGACTACTTGAGATTCTGTTCCCATCTTAAAAAAGAGGAACAGTGATATGGATCACATATGCAGAATATGTTTTAAATTTAAGTCTTAATTTAAAACATACAAAAAATTTAGTCACCAGGATGGCGACTAAAGACCAGAACTTTAAGCCACCAGTGAGAAAATGTAGGTCACATTGGCACTTGTATCAATTACAATCCCAAGCCCTAGGAAACTATGTCATTAGAGAGCCATTATATACTTAGTCATCCTTAACTTGTGAATATCTCTTTTTCTTGTAGACATAAAATTAGGGAATGGACAGCAGGAGAACTCAAATGATGCAAATTCTCAGTGCAGTTGCAGCTCTATACAGGATTATCATACAGGTATTGTTATACCACTTAACCAATATGAATCACAGTTGCCAGTTGGCATAAAAAGTTAAGAATGGATGACAGCCATCGAAAGCCTTTTTTTAGATAGCTAGAAGAAATAAGTTATTAGTTGAGGAGAAGATAGAACTAAGTAATAAAAGCCTACCAAGTGTTGGTAGTGTCCTCAGCTGTATTGGTAAAGTATTGGCCCTTGTTAAGCAAGTATTGTCTGACGTGTGTCAGTTGAGAGGCGACCAATGTTGGTCAATATGTCAGCCAACTCTTAGTCAACATGTCGACTGTTATAGCAACGAACACTCAGACAACAAGTCAACCTATGGTATCCACTGAACCTGATTGACAGTTGCCTGTCAGTATGTATGATCTTAAGGTTGCTTTTCAATTGAGTATCATAAAAACAAAACCCAAAAAGTGATCACAACACCCAATCAGAAGAGAGGAAAATGCCAATAAAAACTTACATTTAAAACAAACCAACTGCCTAAAGCTTGTGATTGGTTCCCGTTTTTCATCTGATTGGTTCAAAAAGCAGTGTAAGTTTTCTGGACCAATCACAGAGCGAAGTAAATCAAAACCAGGGCAATCCCTGATTACTTTAAACACTTTATCAAAAATGTACTCTTTGCATCTAAGACAATGTAATTCACATAGGAATGACAAACAACTCACAATGACATAGAGGAATGTGGGTTCATCAGCTTAAGGATGTTGATGTGGTGGCAGGAAAAAACTCTTAACCCATTCCAGCTGATTTCACTACAGAATTTTAATATGAAAATAGAATTATGAGCACCATTGTACTTTATTATGCAGTAGATGTTGATACAAAGAGATGCATGCCAGACTCACCTCAGAAACCTTGCAAAGAACCTACTTCTAAACAAGCCGAGGAAATTGATGGGACAATTGACTTCATAGGAGTGTGTGACAAGTCACCAATCTCAAGGATGTCATTAAAAGGTTTCCTTTATTGTGTAGAGAGTAGTGTAGTATTGCTGTACAAAGACATTATCATGTCCCCTTCCCTTAACCCAAACACCATACCTTTAAAACCAGCATGTGGGCAACTTTTTATACCTTTAATCATAACCATTACAATTTCCTCAAACATGATTGGTGTATTAGCTGCTTTATTTTTCACTAATCATTCTGTACAGTTGTAATCAGACAGTGTACTTGGACAGTTGAAGCAGCCAATCATACTAAGTCCACTCAACTAAATCTACCAATCACAGAATTGATCACAATAACTGTAGCAACAACCAGTTATCCTAGGAAAAAAATTGAGAATTTCCAAAACTGAAGAATTTTTTACTTTAGACATTGTCTCTGCTGAAGATGTTTGTCCTAAATGTGTTTTTATTTGTAACAGTTATGGTTAATTGGTGACAGGACCTTGTGTCATCCAATTCCATCTGTAGTCATACTATTGTGATTGACAAATCTGACTCCCGCTTGGTGGTCATCAGATTCTGAAAAATATTTGAAATTATTGAAATATTGTTATATTTTTCTATTGGCATTATGTCTGGTTTCTTGTATAACAAAATGTTATACAGATGGTTTCAAAACAGCTTTTTAGAATGCTTTTCAAAGTGTCAAATTGAATTTTGGCCAAATGTATTTTTTCATTTGCAAAAGGTGTTTCAGGTGTAAAGAGGCACTCTTCTGATGTGTCTGGAAGTCCTCTCCAGGAAACTACACCTAAGAAAACCAGGAAGATTGATGCAACAAGTAATTTCCCTGAAGAACATGAAAAGTCACCCTTATCAAGAACCCCAGTGAAAGCTGTGACAGGAACAGCAGGCAGAACCATGCAATCACCGTCACCTTTAAAGCTATCCAAGCTGAACGAATTGAGGGTCTTATTGAAAAGATCACCACAGCACAGCTCTGTTGCCTCTCCAAATAGCAAAACTTATGTGGCATCACCAAGAAGAAAAAGAGGAGGAGCATTGAGCAAAGAGTTTATGGTGATGTTATTTGATAAATACACTTATTTGATGGTTTAAGAAATAAAACATGCTGATATTCTGCGGTTATTTTCCCCAGCTCCATAGGGATGAGGAATTAGATACAAGCACTGAGCACAATTTCTTCTTGTATGATATGTTAAACTATCAAACAAGGGATTTATCATTCTTCTGTTATTTCATTTTCTAGAAATTTGGCTTCTAGCTTTCGAAATACATCCTATGGCCCTATCTTAGCATCATATTCATCACATAAGGCATGCGTGAAAGATGAAAACAATGCTGATGCACTTAAATTTCATTGCTTTTAAAGTCTCTTGTAAACTTTGTACTTTCTATTCTCCTGGGCTCAGTTGTTTGAAGGCTGATTCGCACTAACCTAAGGTTAAATTTTAATCTGGGTTGATTTATTCCTTTGTTTAAAAGCCCTTTTGGAATAATTTTGTGGTCTATTCTTTTTAGAGCATTCAATATCAAGTTGTAGCCCAAAAAAATTTATGCTGAATTTTCTGCCAAATCTTTCAAATCTAAAATCCGATTTCACACAAACTTTGGGTTATCTTAACCCAGCTTCAGGCAACCTGGCCCTGGTCTGCCCCCCTTAATTCACCTGGCCACAGTTGTTCCAAGGGTATATAACGCTATCCAATGAATAAGTCTCTATTGGTTGTTAGTCCTGTTTGTTTTTTGAACACTTATCCACTGAACAGTGGTTTATCCAGAAGATGGCATAATGGGCCCTTTTCACAACATTGCCTTTTTTGGAGCCTCTTGAAGTTAAAAATTTTCTCTTCAAATTTCCAAAGTTAGCCCTTCTGTGAAAACTGAAACCAATAAAATTTATGTATTGGAAGTGGATGAGGTGTTGCGGTTTGATCATGTCTGAAATCAATCTTGGAGAATCACTCATTTGTCTCATTTCTTGCTCTCATGTATATTATGTAGTGATTCCAGAAGCACTGGTTGCATCTTCAAATTCAGGGCCAAGTGGGAGAGTTTGTGTTTCCTTATCAATTCAGTTTTAAAAGTTGCCATATTAATGCAACTTTTCCGTTCTTGCAGAAGTGTGACATAATTCTAAAAGAAATATGGGCCCATGATGAAAGTATTCCATTTGTTCGACCTGTGGATAAAAAACAGGTAAGCAAATCTCAAGTAAATCTTTCAACTGCCAGGAGGCGTCCATTCCTCTTACTAATTTTTTCATCTTTATTTCAAAGTATTGGTGTGATATCTTACGGTTAGTGTGATATCTTAACGATTTTACCGATCCAATACATGTGAATGTAAATGTAAATGTATTTTGTTTTTAGTCACCTGATTACTATAAAGTCATCAAGAAGCCTATGGACCTGTCTGTTGTAAAAGAAAAATTGCATTCTCTTCAATACACATCTGTCGTGGACTTCCTGAAGGACATACGTTTGATGTTGAACAACTGTAAAACGTTCAATAAGGTACAGAATCGGTTTTTTTTTTCGATAAGGCAGGTTAATAGGGGAGGCAACTAGACTGCTGATGTGGAAAAATTATCTCTAAGCAATTGTCCCCTGTGGATACGACAAACTTGTTTGTTATAGGCTCTTTTTGATTTGACCACACACATAAACCCCTTTTGTAAAATACAAAATTATTTACTGTCCAAATCGACCAGTCTAATACTCCTCCCCCCTCATATTCCCAGGATTTTTATGGTTTTACCTGGTTGTTCGAACAGTGGGTTACGCTATACACTTGATAGATCTCTATCTGGCCCCGGTGGTTCGAATGTCGGATAACGCTTTCCACTGGATAAATCGCTGTCCGGTGAACAGCGCAGAGCATTTTGTTATCATTTATTCGCTGGAGAGCAATTTATCTGTCAGATAGTGTTATCCGCCCTTTATACAACTGGGCCCTGGTGGATAGCAAAGGTTGCTTTATCTGCTTTGCGGTTTGTCTATTATATCGCATTATCCGCCCTTGCTGTTTTTCATTACCAAGAGTGTATTGCCAATCGCTCGTGTGAGGGTGGTCCTGAAAGGAGTATTGTAAGTGACACTTCAAGTGATACTTTGTCGCTCAGGTCGACTAAACGTCACTCGCTATCACCAATAGGGACCAATAGCAATGCTTTGTAGAACTACCCGATAGCACTTCACTGTCACTCTTGGCTCAAACCATTTGCTGTATGGCAGGGATTTTGCTCTCTTCTTTTTTAAAGATAAATAAAACAGCCTCCACAAAAAATGCCACTTGAAAATTTAATCTTATTTTTGCTATCCAAAAAGATAATTTGCATGAAACAATTGTGTCAATAAATGTTTCCGTAAGTGGCCGCCGATGGTGTAATAGGCGGCTGCGCCGCAAGGCGTAAACCCAAAACGAGAGCCTGCTTGCAGGCTCAACAGACGGCGGTGAGAGGTCCTACAGTCAGCGGTAGACTGCCGTTAACTTGCTTTTAGGGAAACCCCTGCATAGAACCTCTGTGAAAGATTCTACAGTGTTTTCTTTTCCTTCCATAGCCGGGCACGTACGTGTATGACTCAGGTGAAGAATTGAGCAAAATCTTCAACCATCTGGTACAAGAAAACTTTCCAAACTTTGAAGAAGCGCTTCTGCAAAATTCGGAGGATGGGACTGAGTGATTGATAATAGAAATACTTCAAGACGAATAAGTATAATTGCACTTTGATTTTAGCAGTGCAATTGTGAACTCTAAGAGACTTCGAAAGCTTCATCTCTCTTTTATTTGGATTTTAAATCTGATAGTTCCTCTGACGTGAAATTAATCCTAAGCAAAAATGCAGCTGAAATATTACCTGCATTGTTTCCCTCTGGAATCAGATAATTTTATGGACTGTTCGTCAACACTTAAAATTAACAACAGGCAGAATATAATTAAAGGTATGTCAATTCTTCTTGTACTTTGTGGTCATTCAGTTTCACAGCACCCTCGTTTATTGCGTACCCACATTGCGTTTCCCTGCGTGTTTCCCTGAGTGTTTCTGCGCCCAACACGATGCGCGATCCAGTGTCTTATGCATTGCTTATCCGTGAATTCAAGTACGCGTTAATACATTTCATTGTTTTTCTTGCTTTTCAAGGCGCTTAAGTACGTTGAACTGTGTTCCACTAGCGTTTTTTAGTAAGTTCGAGCGCGTTTGACTTTAATTCCCTTGCGATTGAAGGTGCTCCCAGTGCATCTCACTGCTTTGTTCTCCTTTCATGTTCGTAGCATCCGTGTATCTCATTTATATTTTCGCACAATTACCTATAAAGCAGTACGTTATCGTGGATTTCGATGTGTTTGTCTCGTGTAAATATCTCGCGCACTGTTTGTTCTGTGTTCTATTTGTTACGTGTATTATCTCGCGCACTGTATGTTCTGTGATCTGTTTGTTGTGTTATATCTCGCGCACTGTATGTGATCTGTTTTTTACGTTAAGAATCTCGCACACTGCTTGTTATGTGATCTGTTTGTTACGTGTAGTATCTCACGCACTGTTTGTTCTTTGATCTGTTTGTTACGTGCAGTATCTCGTGGATTGTTTGTTCTCAGATTTGTTTGTTACGTGTAGTACCTAATGCACTGATTGTTCTGTGATCTGTTTGTTACGTGTAGTATCTCGCGCACTGTTTGTTCTGTGATCCGTTTGTTACGTGCAGTATCTCGTGGACTGTTCTCAGATGTGTTTGTTACGTGCATCTAATGCACTATGATCTGTTACGTGTAGTATCTCGCGCTCTGTTCTGTGATCTATTTGTTACGTACAGCATCTCGTGGACTGTTTGTTTTTCAGATCTCTCTGTTACGTGTAGTATCTAACGCACTGATTGTTTTGTGATCTGTTCATTAGGTGAAGTACCTTGCGCACTGTTTGGCCTGTGATATATTTGTTTGCACAGCTTGTTCTCTTTTCTACTTGTTGCGTGTAATATCTCGCGCACTGCTTGTCCTGTAATCTAATTTTTATGAGTAGCATCTCGCGCGCTTTATTTTCTGTGATTTGTTCTTTACGTCTAGTATCTCGCGCACTGTTCTGTGATTTGTTCTTTGCGTCTAATATCTCGCGCACTGTTTGCTCTATAATCTATTTTTAAGTGTGGTATCTAGCGCACACTGTTCTGTGATTTGTTCTTTACGTCTAGTATCTCGTGCATTGATTGTTCTGTGATTTGTTTTTACGTTTAGTACTTCGCGCACTGTTTGTTCGGTAATCTGTTTGTTATGTGTAGTATCTTGTGCACTGTTTTTTTTTGTTGTTGTTGTTGTTGCATGAAGTGTTCCGCGCACTGTTTGTGTTATGATCTGTTTATTACGTGTAGTATATCGCGCACTGTTGGTGCGTTTTCCTCTGAGCTCTATTTTTTACGTTCGTATCTCGCGTAAAGTCTTCTGTATTCTGTCTATTATATTTTTTTTTTTTTTTTTTTGTGAGCTGTTTGTGACGTAAAGTTTCTCGCGCAGTGATATTTTTGGGCTTCATTTGTTACGTTGGTATCGCACGCGCTGTCTGCTTTGTCTTCTGTTAGTCACGAGTAGTTCCTCGCGCGCTGTTTGTCTTTATCGGGATCTGTTAATAGGTGTAGAACATTTCGACAACTCCTTATGTACAAGTATTTTAGATCAATGGCACAGAAATATCTCCACCAGAAATCAAACATTCAGTCCCACTCCTCACGGTGTCATTTTTATAATACTGATTGTGAGGCACGCAGAAAGTTTGAATTGAATTGCAAATAAGCTTGCATCATTAAGTATTCAACTTACGTGTATCAGGATCTTTGCACATGGAAGTCAGAATTGCGCTTTCCTGCCTGGTTTAAAGCTCTAAATTACAGATTTCAGTCGGAAAACTCTTCGTCTTAAATATCGAAGACAGTTGGAACATCTGACGGTAGAAGTTAAAATGGATTTTGTGTCTTAAATGTCGATCTTTGGTGTATAACGGTCCTCGCCCACAGTTTGCAACCAGCGACGACAAGTCAACGGTTCAAACCAAGCTAGGACAGAAGTTTAGTCTTCTTTGAACGCATGTAAGTTATTTAACTCTGTTCTTCTGATTTTCATTGTAAGTTTCTTACAAGTTTGTGATATTAGAGAGCTTCAGCTCTTCGTTCCATACATTACAAACATCATTGAAATAACGACACTCAGAAACGTTTGCGGTTTCATAATTGAATGACATGTATGCGTCTGCATAATCCTGCAAGAATATGCATATTTTTAATATCTAGTTTGAAGCCTATTGCTAAACGGTTATTTGAATAACCTTGGAAATTTAATTGATATTCGATAACTTCTCAAATGAGGCAAAAACGAACAAAACGCCTTGACATTTAAGATGTGAGTAAAAGTAGGCAATATTTCCGGTACTGAATATTTTGGAGTTCAGTGACCGTCTTAAAAACTACAAAAAAAAAAAAAAACAGTTTCGTACCATTTAACACCACTGCGAGAAGCGTCGGCCCTTCGTCAGAGCGATTAACGATCGCTCTGACGAAGCCTAACGCTCGAAACGTCGTCTTCGAAACTCTTCACGGTGGCCAATTTACGGTATCAACTCAGATCAGTTGATAATAAGAAATTACCCAGTTGTACGCAGGCTACTCTGATACATTCATCTTTAATGTCATAGAAGCAAAATAAAAACTTTAAGGAAAGACTATTTTCATGAAAGATAGATTTGAATCATGCCCCTCCTTCCCTTAAACAAATTCTCATAAATTTTCGATTTTTTTTTACAGAGCTAGCCCGCCACTACGCAGAACACTTAATAATTGCTGTGTGGTGAAACGCCAAGTCGACTCTGTTATGATTTTTACTGGTTGATCATCGCCATTGAAATAGTTTCTTTGTCACTTTTAAGGTAATTAATCATCTAACAAGAAGGATAACAATGGATCAGAAACAAAATGAAGTCCATGGAAACAGATACAGTCAGTATAGGTCAGTTTATTTTTATTTTTCCTTTTCCAAGTGTTATGAGAGATGAGAGACGGTGAATACTTATCGTTCTTAATGTTTATCGCAGTCAATTTAAGTTTTCACTCTCAATTTAAAAAGGATTCTCGCCGGTGAGATTTCCGTATAACCCCATACTAAAGTATCCTAAAACAAAAGTGTAGTACCCGTCTCAAAGGTGATTCATTTTGCTGCCATTGTCTTCTCTTTATCCTGCTCCATTGAAGGTCTGAATGGGTTAAGCAATTAACGGCAAGGGCAAGAAATAGAACTGACTACCGACAAAACGCAAAAAACAAAAAAAAAAGCGATTAACGACAAGTAAATACTAACCAACGTCCGACATTACCGATATCTGTATTCAGAAAGAAGAGCATCCTAGCTAAGGAGGCAGCCACTTTAAATTCAAGTTTCAGTTAATTACAGAACTTTCTGTCATAAATCTTACTTACCTGCTTTTTAATCACAAACTGAGATTTACTGACAAAGGACGAGGATCGAGAATTTTAACTGACTATCGACAAAATAGTAAAATTCTAACTTACATCGGACATGGGAACTCCTCTTTACTTTATAAACATTATGAAGTATGAGGCTTTGCGGAAATCTTGCCGAATTCTCTCCTAATCGGGAGATTGATCAGTGGGAAGGAAACATTAAAGACGAGTTAAAAGTTCTCAAGAAGAATTCGTTAGAAAGTTTTGGTCTGAATTGAAAAAAGAAATGAAGTATTTGCTCAATTATGTTTGAACAACAGTTGTATGTATACAGTTGTAGTTTACACCTTCTTGCCTTAGATATTCTGTCGCTTCATAACGATTGGTTCCTTTTAAAAGTATTTATGAAAACCTTTCAAACATTTATCAATGTCATATAATTGTTTGTATAGGCAAACAGAGTCGTTTAATTTTGTCCCAAACATTTTATTGCTAAAAAATTATCCTCCTCCAAATGAAAGGAACTTCTCCTCATGAAAGGAAAAAATGAAATATTTAACAATTATGTAAAGAATGAGAAGAGTATCTTTAACTGCAAATTGTATTCTTCGAGTCTAGCCCACCTTGAAGACGTGCAGATATATTTTGCAGGCCTGGAAAATACTTTCGAAATTGTTAACATTTGTATACCTTGTATTCAGCCCCCCTAAATGTGTTAAAGATTCCTTAAATTTGAGATTTGGTCGTCACCGTATGAAACTTGAAAATCAATCTTGCATAATGGTTATGGCTTACCACCTGGGGGAACAACGCAAGGAGAAAATCTCTTGAATAGATGGCTTAGTGATTAGCTTAGTTCAGAGTATACAAAAGGTACTGTTAATGAAACATTTTTTATATCTTTAGATTTGAAAGATTTCAAGATCATAGGAAGCAAGAAGATTCAAGAAAATTCAAGAAAAGATAATACTTGTGGACGCAAGAATTCTGTTTACTGAAATAAAGCTTATTTTAAGTCACGCTCCTCCTGATTAGGGAAGAAATAGCGGAGAGACGAACGGTGTTTGCGAGGAAATCCTGCGCTTTTAAAAGGCCAACCGCAATTAAAACAAAAGTTCATAAAAATGATGTCTTTTGGTAGGAAAATCTTCCCATCAGCAGAATTATAGAGAAGCTAAAAAAATTTTTGCGTAAATATTTTTAAGTCTTTTGGCGGGAAAATTGCGTATGGAAAAAAAAGGCTGTGCTTTTGAATTGTGTCTAGTTTTGAACAGAAAATATACTAAGTCTTTTGGCGGGAAAAAATTTGCTCCATGCCAACGATTTTCTCCCATCAAAAGTCGAGTACATTTTTTGTTTTAATGCTAGATGCTGTTCAAATCCGCAGATTTTTTTTCCTCTCGGCAACCCTCCATACGCAAAAAAAAGTAAAAGAGATAGCCTATATTTTGACTAGTTACCAGGCCCTTTTAAAAGTGCAACATTTTTTTTATTATTTGTATACTTAATAAGAGACAATAAAGAAAAAGGAAGAAATAATATGATGGAAATTTTTATTTGTTTGTACTTTTCTTCAGTTAATACAAGTCTTTGTTAATAATTAACAAAGTCTACACGAGACCGTATCATAAAATTTTAAGTCCAACTCAAGAATATAACTGTACGAGGTCTAAATGGCAAAAATAACTTAAGTATAGCTACCAAGTCTTAATGGCATTTAAAACAATCACATTTTGGAACATTCCAAGTCGAAGCAGAATAACATTTGACCGAACAAGAACTTTCCTAAGTGTGAAAATAGCAATGAGAACTCGTGAATCGGCCCTCCTAACTGCTTAGCTTTCTTAGATTTGGAAAAGAGATTGCTTGCTCGTGTTTACCTCGCCAAATTATTTCTATCAGCTTTTGAGCTTCCTTCGCAAGCGTTCTTAACCGACCTTTCAATAAAACAAAAAAATTAAGTTAACTTTGATAGCTCTGTTTTGTGTTTTCGAATAATTACTAGACTGGTTTCAAAGCAATTCGTGACCAAATTTTTTCAGCGGGCAACTTAGTTTGTAGGTTTTGCTCACAGTTGTTACCTTAACATTGATTTCAATAGTCTTTCTCCAAAAAATAAGTTTAGTTTCCTTCGGTCTTCTTTTACAAATTCTTCAGTTCGATCCTGTCTTCACTCTGCAGCTTATAGTCCACATCAACAAGGTGAGTCCCTGGGGTATCGGACGACTGCAATATAATACAAACCAACATTCTTTAATTCGACAAAATTAAAATGATAATAGTGGTAAAGCGTTAAAAATTATGGGAATTTCGCTCCGCCTCCAGATCACTGAATTTAACGTCTACACTTAACGATCACCACTAGTAAACGTACCTTACGTACGGGCCACAGGTGAAATTTTTTACTCAACTGTGTGTTGGTTCTTCTTTTGAAACAGTGATCAGAATTTAGCGATGACTTAAGATCAACGTACTCATTCACCTGAGGAATGTTTTCATTCTGAGTCAAATCTAGTTTTTGGAGCTTTGTGGTCATCGACATGAAACCGGAAGCTGAATTACCTTTTCGAGAACCTCTGCAATATTCAACAAATATTGCAGCAATGTATTTTGACTAGCATGGAATCGATAGTCCAATAATAATTATTGTCTGAAGTGAGGAAAGATTTCTATAACCTCCTAAAAATCTAAAACAAAGCATTTTCAAAAAGATAGTATGTTGTTTTCGCCATTGTCTCTTCCATCAAAGAACTGTATGCATAATAAAGTATGGGGTTATAGACAAGGAAATCTCACTTGCGGTCGAACTAAGAACATTTTCCAGGAAAACAAAATATATTTGCGCGGTCTGATCTATGGGTTACTATACTTTTGACCTTTTACCTTTGACCACAATCCATGTGATTGAGTTCTGACTTGCAAAGATTATTTGAGCTGGGCAGGCTTTTTTTGCGGAGCCAAACAGCCTGAAAATACGGCTCTTAAACAAGGCGACTGACAATACTCGAAATTATGGAACTATTATGGGTGAATGGTTTGCATGCTTCGTGCCCTGCATTTTCTCAAATACTGTTAGAACATTACGATCCTCATTTTGAGGGAAAAAAATTAGTTTAATATTCTTACTTGGCTAGCAAAATAACAGGAGAGTTGTTCTGCATTTTTCAGTTATTAAAAGGGCAACGCATTAAAGAGATACAATTTGTGCAAAGCAGAGAGCCGTGTTTGTGAACATTCCGATCATTCTTTTTTAGCGACATGACTTTGCGTCCATAAATCCTCTGAGGAATTATTTGCATATCGTTTAATTATTTTTCTTGATGAAACAAAATAACGCATGATCTGACTCTAAAATTCTGGCTTTTGGCCTGACTCAGCCTAACATGATTTTATGCATGTCTAAGATAGCAGTCACATACACAGATTAGAAACCTGGGTAAAATTTCCGCACAGCCCCGTACTATTGTAAAACAAATCTGTTTTCCTAATAGCAATGTATTGTTTTTGTCATTGTTTTCTCTATCCAAGAACTGAATGCATAATGTAGTATGGAGCTGTGCGGAAACTTTACCGCGAAACCTGTTTCAAACAACTGGATTCAGATTCTTACCTTTACGTAATTCTTTCCTTTTTCCCTTTTTATTTGTTAACTCCCATGCTTGGTTTACAAGGCCTCATTCATATTCCGTCACCTACGTACGAAAGAAGGATACAACACCGTCTTTCATTTCCCGAGGTTTGTCTTCAAGGATTCAATCATTGAATTGAATGTTAAATTAGAAGAGCACTCACAGAAAAAAAAAATTCTCATCTATTCAAGATTTCTTTAACTCCTATTCAGCAAGAATCAGTCTTAACATCTCATTTTCAACTTCGGTTTGAATTTCCCACTGGACTGAAGCAATTTATCGATAAAATTCTCTTTCAATATGTTCCCAGAAACCTTGTATCGCTATCAAACGAAGATATGAGCGTGGAGTTGCTTGTCGCGAGCGCAAGTCCGAAAAATTCTAACTATCAATTTACAGTCTCCTTGCTAATTCGTTAAGCGCATTATACAAGTTAACCAGTTATACTCACTCCTATCTTACCGTGTGTTCTGTATAAAAAGGAAAAGGCTGTTGGTCCGAGTCAAGTCTCCAAGAAAAGAAACAATTTCTTCTCATTGCTTCTGTCCATGTTTAGATGGAAAACTTGATTATCTGGCGAGTGTTTTCTTGTTCTTTCTTTCCAACGACGAAAAACAGTTCTCACCTCGAGGAAACAAAATATGGAAATGAGTTGAAAGGTTTCACGTGGAAATTCAGCCTTGGGGAAATATCTTGGAAGCGAGGTTGGCGTGAATTTGCATCCAAAGAAGCCTAAATAAATTGCATGACTTTTGTGGCAATATTTCTTTATTAAAGTTGATTTGCCCGCACGAGAAAGAAAAAGGGGTAAAAAATGCCAGTGTTAGGAAAAGGAACAAATGACAGAGAAAAGACATGGACAAAGTAAGGAGAAGTACTCAGTAATCCTGCTGGATATTCTACCAAATTCTATCCAAATTGCGATAAGTAAAGATTTTGCGGAGGACCTAACACCAAAAACTAGCGTACTTACGGGCTACACTACTCGATCCAAATTGCGAAAAATTATACGATGGTAAATAGCTTCTATGTTATTTCAAATGTTTAAGAGAGCCTTTCACCATGATTTGCACTGAGCTGCAACTACCCACCGAACAGTTTTTTATTTTCTTACTTTCCATTTTTGTTTTTAGTTTCAGTTTGTCCCCTTGTCTGCTTCTTCAATGGCTAGTTCGCATTGCGGACCTATTTAGGGGACAGTCTGGCACTAGTCAACAATAGTTGAAAAGAAACTAGCACTAGTGACGGTACGCCTGTAACATTGGAACTTTTTCTTCGAGGGCACTTCGTTTCCCCAACGTTGAAGTGTGTCTCATTAATCGATCGTGATCCACAAGCCTACCGTTATAATGCCATCAAAGTGCCCCGTTTGTCACAAAGAGGCAGTTGATGTAGAAGGAGGAGAACAATTTGGAGAGTAGAGTTTTCAACTTTGATGTTGATCGTCAAAATGGCTCTACCACCATGACAGCTGATGGTACGGCAAAGTTTGATGGACGTTACGATCTGCCAAGTACGGTGAGGCAGCGATTACCAACAGGCGACATTTCAGTATCTAAAAAGCAACTTCAGAAGTTCCTGCGTGAGCTTGCAAAGCGCATGAATCTTCCGAACGAAACTGTAAAGGAAGCAAAGGATTTTCTCTTAACCACTGTAACATCAAAAAAATTAAATCAGGAGAAATTCGACACATAAGTCGTCTCAGAGACATTCTTACTGCGAGTTGTCTGTTCATCGTTTGCAGGAGGAATCACATGCAGATAAACTACAGACGTATGGCGGAGATCTCGCAGTGTAACATGTTTAGTCTCGGTAGATCGGTGAAAATCATTTTAAAAGCTCTTGATCTTCACCTGGAGCCGATTGGAACTGCGTCGTCGCTGGTACGTGTTCTTGCACAGTTACACATTGAAGATAAGTCTGCTGAGAAAACCTAATTTGATTTGTGTCACATTTTTAAGCACTTCAGTCTGGCCGGCGAGAGAAATCACTTCGCCTCTGCTATGGCTGTGGTTCTTATCGTACTAGAAGGTAAAAAAAATTACTCCGCGTAAAGAAAAGATCGCGGAAGTTTTAGACAAAAATCCTGTGACAGATGCCCTGCTGAAATCACAAATGAAGAATACCAGAAGGGGTTTGGTTGAACTGGCAAAAGATGTACCCTGGATTCCAAAATCGCTTAAGAACACTGCCATTGCTAGATGTATTGATGACATTGTTGATTTTCACAAAAACTGCGGAAAGATGTATTTGTCTACAGTTAAGTGTTTGTATATGAAGAGGAAATAACTTGCAGAAAACAATCACAAGAGAAAGATACAGATGGCAGAAGCATGCATCAATAAGGAAAAAACACAACAGCCTTATAGCTCAGCTGTAGACAGTTCTTCTACTAATGACACCCTGGCTAAACCTTCAGGTCCAAGTAGTTCTTTAACTAACCAAAGTAAGGATGGAGGTGTAACAGGGCCAGCAGGGTAATTCTGCAAATGCTCCAGAGTTTAACAGCAAAAGTGAGCTGGATTCTAATGATGCCTTGATAAGAGGCCTGCTTGGGAGTAGCTACACTGAGGAAGAGTTGATGGATTGTTGATCCTCAGGGCACTTCTGACCCTGAGGGGGAGAGAGAGAATCTGGATGAACTTGATATCAGAGAGTCTAATATGCATCATCATTTGAAGTCTGTTGCTGAGGTGGAATGAATAAAAAATCTTAAGAAAGATGACTCTTCTACAGCAGAAGAACAAAGTCAGTAAAAATCAGACTAAAATAATCAGGGAAACTATCTTTGGAAATATATTTCTTGACACTTTTGTTTTAACTTACACCCCACTCACATCAACACTTAAAAATGTTTTAAAGCTGTTTTGTCAAACATAGTGTAAAATTTGTTTCTTCCTAGAAGCTGCTTATATCAATATTTATCAACTTCAAATGTAGCACAGTGAAAATACAAGTTAGTGATTACTTGAATCCTATGGAAAACTCAGTTTTTCAGTATTTTGTTTCTGATTTTCATTCAGTTAAACCTGGTTTAACTAAACATGTTTTGGTGGTGTGAATGGGTATTAGTTTATCAATTCAATTCATTGTGCAGCAATTATAACTGATAGATGATAAGCCTTGCTCTGAAAATTTTGGGCCAGTTATTTACTAAAGTTTAGCTGTTGTTTAACAAAACCATGTTCTAAACTACCTTGAATTTGCTGAATCTTTCATCTGAACATTTATTTTTGTGAACAGTGTCAAGGAAGCAAGCAGTGGAAGGTCATTTAGTAAATGAAAACAACCCTCTTATAGAGAATATTTGGGGCCCACTGCTTGCATAAAACCATGGTTCATGTTAGACCTCACGTAAATAAGCAGCCTTTTGTGTTTAATATAAAACTCCTAATGGCCATGCGGCATTTAGTCATAGTATTACTGTGTTTTCCTGAACATGTTTAGTGTATAGTCCTTTTAGTGCTGAGGGAATTGTACATTACAGATTACAACACATGAAAACCTTTGAAGGTTTAACCCTTTCTTTTTTTAAATTAAATTTTTCATTTTTACAATTTCCAATGAAAACAATTCCTCAAGTACAATCACATGATTGCCAAGAGAAAAATAAAGTAATCAAATGAACACAAAAAAATCACAGGGTTTTTCATTAGGAGAAACAGTGACATTATCTGTAGTGAACCTTGCTTAAAACTGTGAGGTTTTTGGTTGGAGCCCTGGGTGACCAGGGGGATTAGGGTTAGGTCTACATTTTTTTTTTGGTTCCATTCTGTTGGTTTTAATCCCATTTCCCACTGGAAATGATTGCCAAATATATTTCTTTCGCTACAGTGGACAAATTTGCATGTAATTTTTAGCAATTTGGATTTTTGGGAAATGTTCCAGGTTTGATCCTCCTTTCAAAGGTCTTTGTGTTGTTTGCTTTGATAGACACCATACTCTCACCAGGCCTCCCCCTACTTGGGAATACATGTGAATGCTAGGACATCATCAAGGACATTTGATAATGGCAAAAATTTGCGAAAATCATCAAATCCACCAAGCTGATTTTCCTTTGTTTGGGGGGTAACAATATTTAAAAATCTATAAATCTATAAATTAAATCACTGATTTATATTTACCAAACCTCTTCAACTTTCTAGAAGTTATAGATTATGACATAGCAAATATTTTATTCGAGCATAGCTACTTGCCTGTTAGGTCAAAGTCTGTGGCCTCTTACAGTCCCAATTTTTTTTGCTGCACACTTCTTAATAGGAGGTCCTATACACTTTGCATTATCAGATATATAAAAGTTTTTGTCACATAAAAAACAAAAAAACCAAAGAAAAGAAATTTGCCATAGGAAAGTTGATCAATGATTGTTAACAATCAAAGGATGAGGTAAAAATAGAAATTGCTTATGTAAATAAGAAGTACTGTAACAAAACAATCCCTGCAGGTGAAAAAATTACATAGAATTTGCAGAAAATAAATTCTTAAAAAGTCAAAGCTGCAACAGGATTTAAACCCTTGCTTCTAATATACTAGTTGTTCAGAATTCAATCTGAAGAGAAAGACAAAACTTTTTAAGATTTGATCTTTAAACAATGATACCTGGCGATCTGCAATGTGGGAAAATTAGTGGCCCTGGATCTTTTGGGTTTCTGAAAGGCGGCTGGTAGAGGTGGTGGTCAAGGTTGCAAGAGACTCCCCATAAGAGAAAACTTGAGTTCTATACCAATGGAACAACACGGCTTGTTCCTTAACGACAGTGAGTCACTAATGCAGAACAACCCCACCACTCGAAAATTAAATTTTTCTCCCAGCTTAATATTAATCTATCATTAAATAATGAAGCCCAACGTACAGTAATTGCTAATGGCAACGTTTCTCTCACTTTTCCATTCATTCAATTTATTCAAATTTTTTATTTCTGTTATGACCATAAAAGGAAACTTGGTTTACACAAAAGATCTTGAATAATTTTTATTGGTCTTTTTGAATGATCGTCATCCCAGATTACGTAATTAATTATAATGTATGCGAAGACAAATTTGTTCTGACAAATATCAATTTTGTCTTTGAACTATACACCTCTGGGGTTTGTGGAGAAAAGTACCGTTTAAAGGTCAGCTTTCGTTGGTGGCTACCCCGCACAGAAGACAGGTGAACCAAATACAATAGCCTGTTCGGCGTGGAAGTTGAGAAAGCTTAATTATTTATGTTGTGATTTATTCAGCGATGGTTTAGCCTCGGTTTTGCAGCGGAAAATTCGGGGAAAAAGATTATTTCAACGTGAAAGAAAATGTGCCAATTTGCCTCGTCGACAATTGCTTGGATTTTAATAACTACTTGGAGGTTCTTTCCAGCAGTTCTTGGTGAGTTACCTTCTTGGCATGATAATTTCAAGAATTTTGGAAATTTGTTCTGTTCATAAATAAACCTTTACTTTGAATCAACTTTAATTTCGAATCGTCAAAATAGAGATTTTGGAGAATTCTGTAACTTTTTTCAATGTTTAGTATATTTACAATTTTTGGCAGCGCTGTTAATACAATACTCGCCTCTGTCAGTTAAGACTGATCTGCCATGTCTACAGCGTCCTGCATAAATTCGAACATAATTAAAAAAAAAAGTTTTTGTAACATAATTTCCTGAAAACTATTCGGCAGCACGACTTTTTGAATTCCGAAAAAATCATTGTTCGAATAAATGGGGGCGAAAAATTAAAGTTGGAGGAAGAAATTTGATGGAAAACATTTGCATTACCAAGCGGTGTTAAAATTGAAACTTTGTGCGATTAATTTCAAGTTTGACAGGAACACGTAAAAAGCTGTTTGCTTTGTTAATGGCAGAGTACCGGTTGTTTACCATTACCATCCGCTTGGAATAAGAGTTTATTGATTGATTCATGAGCCTTTAAGCGTCTATGGTGCTTTGAATTAAGCATCTCTTATTTAACTAAAATTCTGTCGATTAGTTCATTGCGAAGTTGTCCCGTGAATGTAGATTTCTAAATTCATGAGAACGTCAATTGAGTGCGATTAATTTCGCATTTAATACGCGAATGTCAATTGACTGGCGTGAAGTTTCAAATGAGAATGATTTCAAACAATTTATTCTTTATGATCTAGGCCGCAAACCTGTCACGGAAATTTTGCTTAAAATAGCAACATATTCCAAACAATGTTCTACAGCTACTTTTCAGACATGTCGCATGACTCGAAACTTTCTTCTTTAAGATGTTATAAGTATAATCTTAAGAACAACTCACCTTTTAGAGTCGAGCTTAAAATAAAACTGCATATCCATGATCGAGAAAGGATTTCCACCAGAAAAATATATGAAAATAACGAGATAAAACCGTTAGATGCAACTTTCCTTGAATGACAGATCTAGACTGACCTCTGTTCTAAGTGATGTTTTCAAGCAGCGTTTGATCTTTCTTTCCTCTAAATCAAGTCTTGACATACATCGGATAATTATTTCACAATAAAATTTCTCAATGACTTTAAGGTGGCACTTGCTTATAATTTATGTTTGACTCGTGCAGAAAGGCATGACTGAGAAAAAGAAACACGAATGTAAGTGTCAAAAGCCACGATTGACAAAAGAATGTTTTCCTCTCTCACTTTATCGTCCACCATGAAAAAGAATTATGTGAAAAGTTTCCCTTAATTTTCCTGGTTAGTCAGTATTTTCCGGAAAGGTGCGAGAAATTTGTGTCGTAAAATTATTTCGTAATCCAGGCTATAATTTAACTATTTTACTCTCAAATAATTGACAGGTACTACGTTGCTATCATCTCAGACAAAGGTACAAGCAACACTAGATACAACACAGAAAGCGGTTCAAGCAGCCCTGCCTTGGACTCGACAAACCTCATCATACGTCAGTATAATGCACAGCCAGTCCAAAACAGATCTAATTACATCTTCTGTGAGCGTTGAGCGAGTCAAATACAATTCCACGCTCCTCTCAACTACGACCGTAAAAATTACCTCATCTCAATTTTTCTCTGACACCAAAGCTTCAGGGTACTTCAACCCTGCAGAGAGCCTTCAAACAAAAGAAACCCAACATAACTTACTTGAAACAAAAACTTTATCTTTCCAAGCCACAGGTGTTGCAGTATCTCACCATGGCCAAACTCCCTTCACAGGTGTCACTGTGTACCGAATAGTTCCATATAATGAATCATCCACTAAAATCTCTGCCCTTTTTACTGGTACCCAGGCCTCAAGATCGAGTTATTCGTACAATAAAAGTAGCGTGTATCTATTATATCAATCAACTAAAAACGAGGCCATCTCCTCGATGCCAAATACTTCATCAGATATAAAGTTGACCAAAACCACACGTGTTACATCGGGAAAAGGTGTCACAGCGTGTCCTAGTATCACAACTCTCTTATCCACATCTGTACATGTGAGCCCGAAAGGAATCTCCGCGAATCTGATAACTTCTCCTGACAAGATTACCATCACTACCTGCATTTCTCAAAATCTTCATGCTACAGAGGTGACATCATATTTTGTTCAGAGTGGTACAGGATCAGCTTCATTTTTAGTTCAACCAAGTACATCAGCGAAAAAGGTAACCACTCTACAACCTTCGACAGCTCTTCTGAATGTCAAAGCCTCGACTCCTCAACCATTGAGCAATACTGTAGGAAGGACATCCTCCTTTTCCCCCACTGCTGTCAAGAAATCTCCTCCTGTTAACAGCGAACACTCTAAACAAGTCACAACCACCCACAGGTACCATAAGACACCAATCACAACACGTCCTGGAATGTCGTCATCCGTTGAAACCTCCGGAAAAAGGCTCGATACTCTAAACACTGGCAGTGTGACCGAGAAAAGCCTAAGTACTATAAACACTGGCAGTGTCACCGAGAAAAACCCTTATACTATAAACACTGGCAGTGTCACCGAAGAAAGCCTTAGTACTATAAACACTGGCAGTGTCACCGAAAAAAACTTTAATACTATAAACACTAGCAGTGTCACCGAAAAAAGCCTAAGTACTATAAACACCGGCAATGTCACCGAAGAAAGCCTCAATACTGCAAACACTGAAAGTCAGAACACACAGCAAGTTGGTATCTCGGGATCTGCTTCGCCTGACATAATCTCAACCAATACTTTAGAGTTTACCTCAAACACTTCTCATCAATCTAGTACTATTTCATTCCCGAAAGCCACATCAATATCACCGAGTAAGATGCTCACCACAACATCATTGGTTGCTCACAGCTTTCCAAAGTCTCGTACGTTGAAACCAATAACCTTCACTTCTTTCCTCTTCAAAAGTTCGCGTAAATTGTCTAAATCAGCCACACAAACATCGTCAAAATATGTTTCAGTGACTGAAAGCAACACAACGATTCTTCCTCGTTATCTCACAACAGCTGCGTCTATTTCAACAACAGATAAAACATTAACTTCAACTAAAAGACCATCATTGGGAAGCAAAACCACGCAGATTGAGAAGTCCAAGATTTCTACTTTGAATTCAACAAATATCGGTGAAGCTTCAGTGTTACATACGTCTTCTACGCCGTATATGATAAATGAATCATGTGAATCACCAGAAGCGACATTTAGCAAAGCCACTGTACTCTCCTTACAACAGTCATCATCTCCAAGCACTGATGGGCAAATTATGTCCAATAACACATCACATGCTGGTTATTCAAGCATCCTTACTTCAATCGTAACCTCAAGCCGTAAATTGCCCTCAACGCCAATTCAATCAACACAAACTTTGACTCGTTATTTACAATTCTCTACACAAGCGATGACAACGAGGCTTGTTACAATCCCAACCGCCACGCCTCTGGGTACACCACAGCTAACGACCACTGAAAAATACTCTTCAAAACAAAGCAGTAAAAGCATATCAACTGTGCAACAAAAGAGGGCATCGACTCGTCAAAACGTGCCACTTACTAAAACTTCGGTATATCCCTCTCCCTCCTCCATGCTCGTGTCTGCATTTAACAGGAGTACATTGATCCAAAAACCGTCAATGAGCCACCGACCGTCATCATCATTATTTCTGCCAAAAGATAGTACAACTCAAACCGTTGTGATTACAAGCCAGATAACAGCTGTTGATAAGATCACATCATCATCGTATTTGGCCTCGACTAGTATCTCAAAAGTTTCACAAAAGCAAAGTGTGCCTTTGTCTGCCACGTACAGTTCTAAACATGGGGGTTCTGCATCGTTCATACACGAACCCTCGAAGAGGACTAGACTGGCGTTGACGTCAGTAACTACTTTAAAGCTTGAATTATCAGAAATGAATTCTGAGGTTTCTCGATTTTCTGCAACGAGTCTCCACCCCATTGAATCCACTAAATCGCTTGAATCAGTAATTTCATTGATATTTCCTGGTCACTCAAGTTTGACATTCTCTCCTAAAACGACCGTGCTTACGTTAGAAAACACCCGGACTCAAGCTTCTTCAGAAACTCAAACAGCTCTAAAAGTTACCACAAAGAGTTCACAAATCTTTATTAATACAACAACAGTTGGAGCTGCAATACCTGTATTAGTGTCTTCATCCAGTGCCTCGACACAAACGAAACCACCACCCGAGATTCCAAGTCAGTTCGAAGGTCGGATGATTCTAGGAATGCCATGGCAACCACACTACGAGTATCCACCGGGATCCCAAACACTTAAAACTACAATAAAAGATAAACTGACCAACGCGCTGAAAGATCTTGAAGGTTTTATTTCAGTTCAAGTTCTGCGTTTGTGGGAGAGCAGCGTTGGCGTCGATTTTATTGTGTATGTAAATAAGCAAGCCACGGTGAACGAAAGTCTCATAGAAAGAACACTCGTTAAGGCAAATAGTACAGGTGTTTTAGACCTGCCCTTGAAAAGCCTCCAAGTGAAAGAAAAGGACGCTCCAACCACACAGAACTTACCCACAACCAGCCCTACAACACAGGAAAAGTCCATCGAGCGATGGGTCATCATAATCATCATTGCCAGCATTGTGGTATTCTTGCTGTTGATTATAATATGCATATTAGTGGTAAGTACATTGGGAGACCAGGTTTGTTTCCTTATCCTTTGGACTTATCGTATCACATTATCGCATTTCTTACCTTCATGATTGAAAAAGTTTTTGCATCGGTAAAATGTTTTTTTCCTTCAGTTATTTCAGAAACCTGTAGGCACCATTTGATGCAATTTGCATGCAAAGTTTTTCTTAGACGGGCGAGTACCAAAGTGTAATGAACAGCAGGATAATATAGCCCACCAAGTAAATACAGTGGCTTACATCACTTTGCCCATCATCTCTCTTACAGATCATTGTCTGTAGTAACTTACACTTATAACCTTCCAATCCTTGTGAACAAATTCATTCAGTTCCTGTAACATTATGACATAAATAGCATGTGATGTTTCTGGTAGTCAAAGCAAGAATTCGCACCTTACTTGGTATAGATCACCACAGTCGTTAAAATAACCATGTTTCTATTAAATTCTAGAGGTCAGGATCTGATATACCTTACCTCGCCGGAAGTGATCAACATCTGTATGAATGATGGGTTCACCAAATAGTTTTTGTGGAAATATATGGTTAATAATGACAAATAATAATAATAATGAATAATAATAAAAAATATATTGTGGTTAATTATTAGGACTTTTCGTTATGAAATTTCTTTTTTCTAATTTTTTTTTCAAGGCTAAAATTAGTAAACAACGAGGTGGTGTGCGTAGAAGTGAAAAATACGAGCTTTCAAGCTTCAACAACTTCTGGTATTCTGAACAAACAGAGTCAGAGACAAAACCTGTGGTACTGAAGATGCAAGAACGAAAAAGAACTATCCAAGGCAGTCAAATTAACCACGGGTACAGGAATTCTCGCGAGGACCTGACAGCAAGCAAAGCTGTACAAGTACAATCAATTAAAACTAAACAAATCTCTGGAGACCCAGAGGCATTGCAGTCCTTCGCTAATGGAAGTAATGATGGTGGCAGTGAAGTAACAGGAAACTCACGTGCGAAGGAAGACCAAGTAAGTATCTGTGTACATCATTTGTGATTGAAAGGCAATCATCATCATTGGGGATAAAAATGCCTTTCAAAGACCCTTTCCAATTTCTTTAACGAATTTCGTATAGTAAGAAACTTTAACCATCAACGCCTACCTTCATGCGCGAAACAAGATGCACAATGCAACACGACAGAATCACATAAAGAAGCTAAAAACGTGGTACACTCGCGCCCTGAATCAAAGGTAGAAGGTAGCATATGGAGTGAGTTACCAACAATCTGTTACCAAGCAAAAGTTTCATTTGGATTTCAATTCCAATTCCTCTTTTGCCTTCAAGCTATTTGCCTGTGCAAAGATACGTAACCAATTGTAAGGTCTCTCTAATTTGGCTCGCATTTTTCGGGAGAAAAACGAGTTTTTAACTAAGAGCGCGCATTCTATGCTATCCTGTGCCGATAGCATAGAATGGAATAAGTTGTCACTAATATATAAACTTTACATTGCATGGTGATATATGTAAGAGGGTATCAATAAGGTGAACCGTTAGCCCTTAAAACGGCCAAAAAATCTTTAGCCGTCAGGCGTAAAAATTGGACAAATGGAGCCATCACCCCAATGAGACTCTCCTATATCTTTTTTGATCTCATGGAATTAAACACCATGACTTTTAATCACAGGCCGTTACCTCGACCGACTAAGGTGGTGTTGATCAAAATTAGAGCTGGAAACCGCTACAAAGATGGAATTCATGGCCGAGTTCTCCAAAATTGCACGTAAACGAGGAAAAGTAAATCTAACAGTCGATTATAAGTGGTTCCAGCGTAACTACCGTATTTGCAGTTTAACCGCTGCTATAGAGTGAGTTAATAAAAAGAGAAAGATCTGTGTATCGGTATCTGAAATAATAGCGAGTCCCTTTCAAATCGAATTTCTGTTAACTTAAACTGAAATCAAAATTTGTCCACATCTTTCTCAACCACAACCGTAAATGTAGATCTAATTTATGTAGAACAAATTGCTAATATAAATAAAATGAACAATGTTCACGTGAGTACTAGAAAGTATGTTTTATTGCGAAATACTGACCCACTAAAACAAAGCCTTTTACGACTTAAAAGGCAACTAAATACAATGTTAGAAAACTTTAGGAGTTACCTCTGACGTAACTACAAGCGAGAAAGACAAGACAACTTTACTTCTCTTCACTTTTTCAAAATCAAGCAGGGGAAAAGTAAAGTAGTAAATACACCTCATGACAATAACTCGTTCTTGGATAAGTAAACTACAAAAATCAGCTTGCTTTTATTCGCTACTTGAGCTTACTTTACCGAACACAATAAGGGAAATCTTAATTAAACTTCAATAGCTACTCAGTTAAGATTCAATTTGAAACGTTAAAGGTTAAGAACCGAAGTACACGTTTCACGTTATAAAAAATTTAAAAAGCTTTACCTGGATCAAGTCTAACCTTGGTCATAACCTAAAATCGGTAATCACGTTCACTCAAAGGAATATTTGCAGAGAAATTTACGACAAAATCATAGAAAAAGCTGTTTTGACCAAACGAATGCGTAGTTCTGAGCCTAAATGCTCTTTATCTATAAACGTTTCTTGAGATCTGACAGTTTTTTCTTTTTTTTTCCTTTTCAAGTACTCTTCATCAAGCAATGCCCCCTTAGCGTAATAATCCGAATAAGCAACTTGTTTGATCGTAAGATCTACCACTAGTATTACATTCAGTAGACTAAACGCTAATGTTTGCCTTCTATGAAGTCAATAGAGTACACACGGAATATGCTCCCTACCAGTGTAAAGTGTCTGTGATAACGAAGACAATGTTATAATGATACCGACGAGGGAGAAGGGGTGTGAAATAAATAACCCTTCTAAACCACTCAAGAGTACATCATAAAAAGACCAATATTATACATCGATGCAACACTAAAACTCTATTAGCTATTTACACAATACGGTTCCCATTACCATCAATATACAACTGCTACCCTGGCAACGAAAAATGTTACCGTGATGATGCAAATTAAATATCTCTAATTCTGCTACTGGCTGCCAACCTACAGAGTTGCAAGGCAACATGACTTCTCTTTAGAATCCAAGGGCGCTTTCTAATTCACAGAAATGATCGGTTAGACCATCCTGTTGGTGTTATCAGTTTTGTTGCTTCATCGTGGAATATTCTCACGAAACACGAGAGACTTTCGATTGTACACGTTAATACAAAAAATATTCTACAATCACTTTGGTATTAGAAGCACACGAGAAAGCGCATGTTTCAAGTAGGTTTTACGCTTTGGGTGTTCGAGAATCATTTACGTCGCAAGCAAGAGTTGTTTAGCCAGAACTTCTCTATGGAAATGCCCTAATTCTGTGACCGCAAGGCAAAAGTGAATGACTATGTATTAATTTGCCAATTATGTATCTCTATTCTGCTAAAATTGCAAAATATCCTCATATTATAATTATCAATATAATCTGATATAAACTCTCTATAAAATCATTTCTATTTTGAGCTCACTTCTCTCATAATTAGATCGGAAGAAAGATTAAAAATTTTCTCCGAGTATTATTTTAAACACTTGGCAGTTTGTTTTCGAAGGAAACTGAAGTCAATCACCGGCTAAAACGAAAAATAATGCGACGAAACTTCAAAAGCGTCATCTATAGTTTCAGCATTCCTAATTTTTCAGTTAAGTCTACAATATGCTGAATAAATCTTTTTTTCTCCCTATAAACACAATTCTACATAATCAAAGGCTCGGAGAGGATTTTCTTACAAGAGGTCCTGCGCAAGTATGGTACTGGTGGCTAGGGGCGTGGAGGTTGCTTGTAAAAAGTTATCACAAAATGCCAAATTTACGTCATAAAAAAGGTAGGAAACGACTAGACCCCAGGACTCCTACTTAGCCCTTGATTTAAGTAACAACGCCAGCTCCCCTCGGCTCCCTCTCGTGGCACTGTCTTCGCTCACCTAATTCTATCAGAAAATGTTATTGTAGAGAAAGTTATACCAGCGAAAGTTCACCCCAGTTGTTGTACATGAAATCTCACAACGGTATCTAGTCAACGAAGAGCTATCACCTGATTCAACTCCGATAGACTGGATGTAGTGGTGAGAGATTAGTTTTTGTAAATAAAAGACGACGTCGTCATGCAGGACGTGGGACGGGAGAAAAGTCACCGTGTACGCACGTTTGTCATCCCGGTACGAAACTCGCGCTGGTGTGTGTTTCTCTTGTAAATACCGCCTCTAATTATATACACTGCTAAGCGGAAGAAATTTAGTTGAGTGACGATAGTAAACGTGGTTAACTTAACGTCTGCTTAAAAGAAATTACGTAATAAAATACCATATATGCAGACAGCCAATAACCAGCTACATAAAGAGTAAAACAACCATTATATCAATAACTAATTTAAAACCTCGTTAAGAAGCACATTGCTAAATAACACCGAGCAACAATGCATATACAATTTCACAATTACCTGAAAGCTTTCATAACAATAAATACCGGGTTTCTTAACATAAAATAAATCAAAAACAACAGGAAAGACCTTAAGAATCAAAGAATTTATCACTCATTAGTATATACCACACGAGTGAATAGTGCTTTTCGCGCGCGCTGATTGGCTGTTTCGGAAGTGGTTAGCGAGTGCTATTCACTTCCGTGCAGCCAATGATACAAACGAATCGCAAGTCAAGAGTCTAATTTCCGACCATTTTTCGTTATATTGACAGAAATACACTTATTGTTAGGTTTCTGTGTGGTATATACTAAAGCAATTATACACCCCAGTGTCAGTGAAAGTGCTGGATATTTACCTCCACTTCGGTGAATAACTGTTAAATATGGAATCGTAAAATATTTTGAACGAAGCTCTATACAAGGGGATTACTACCCGTAAATGAATATCGACGATTCTTCAAAATGATACCAGAATGGTTGAGAAATTATGAAACAGTGAAAGAAAGCTTTAAGATACGAATAAACAAATACACATTGACCTCGATGCCCGTCTACATCAGAACAAAAAGTTTGGAGGCTTGTTGATGTCCTCGGCTTCCACTGAAGGCTCGGTTTTCCTTGTGTTTTTTTTCCATTCTGATATAAAATGACAAATAGATACAGTTATGTCAAAAATGCAGTATGTGAGAGATTCAGTGATTAAACGTTAGATTTTGCCATGAAACAAACAAGAAGATAAGCTTGAGAAATAATACTGAAGGGAAGAGAAGAAGGGGAAGTGAGAGAAATAGGAGGTAAGGGAGGAGAGGAAAGTAGGAAGAAAAAGAGATTGGGTAGAAGGTATTGGGGTAGACGGAGACAAAGAGAGTGAAAGGAAAGGAAAAGGAAAAAAAGAAATAGGTGAGAATTAGAGAGAATACAAGTGAAGGAAGGAAGAGTACAGGGTAACAGCAAAAGAAGATAAAAGGAGAAAGAGAGAAACGGAAGACGAAGGGAAGGTGTGGAAGGGGAAAGAGGAAAACAGGAGAGAGAGGGAGAGAGAGAGACGCAGGAAGTAGGACATAAAAGAAAGCTAAATGAAGGAGGGAGGAAAACAGAAGGTTAGGAAGAAAAGGAAGGAGAGAATGGTAGAACAAAGCGTGGGCGAGGGTAAGAATGTGACAAGATAAAGGGAAAGGGAGATAGAAAGAGAGAGAAGGAAAAGAGAAGGGAGGGAAGAAGATAGTGAGGTAGGAAAAAGGAGAGGAAGGAGAGTGAAAGGGAGAAATCAGAGAGGGAATATTACTGGTGGAAGGAGGAAAACATGGACAGAAAAAAGGGAAGGATGAAAACAAAAATGCGACACACCAACAATAAAAGGGAAATGAAAGAAGAGGAGGGAAGGAAAGAAGGAAAGACACCAGAGGGAGAGAGTGCGAAGTGTGAATAATGCTGGCTTTACGAGAGAGGGACAGCAGATTAAGTCGACGAAGGTCAGAGTAAGAGAAGGATGGAAAGGGAGGAAGGAATAAGGAAAAAAATTAAATTGGAGGAATGAAAAAGAAACAAAGAAAGAAATCTCACATACTGCTGCCAGATAATGAAAATGCTAAGAATGATAATGGAAATTTTTTTATATGCATTATACGATTTTTTTTATCAAATTCACTAACTTACCCCTCAGCACAACTACCATGCCCGCTTCACGCTCGCTTGTCGTTGTATGGCCTGTTAGAAATACCATTTGTTGTTTTCACTTCCGAAGCGCGCAAATTTCGTTCCCACATGAGAAGATCGTCATTGCTTCGTATCCATTCGGAATCATTGATCGCCATGCGCTGTGGGAAGTTAGTTTTCCTCTTCAGCTTCGTATACTTACACTGAAAAGTGAAAACCACGACTGCTCATCGATATGCTTTTGTATGTCAACTTTTTCCCTTGGGTATTTGTTAATACCGGTTTACGGTCGTTTCGATACAAAAACGTTTCGATACAAAAACGTTTCGCTACAAGTCGTTTCGATACAAACGGAATTCAATTTGATGCATCAACAAAGTCGATTCGAAGCAAGTGATTGAAGTTGTATCGAAACGACTCTCTACGTGTTATTAATCGACTTTATCGGTGTATCGAGTCGACTTGTATCGAAACGACTTTGTATTTGAACGACTAGTCTCCTTATCGCTTAGCCTCTATACTTTAGAAGTACTGCTAGTTTCGACAATGCACTGTATTTACTTGTGAGTGAAGGTTACTGTTTGCGAGTCAACATGGGCAGTGGGAGTCCTCACGGAACAAAGTAGCTGGTCAACAACGAACGAAAATTAAACCAACGACTTGTCTGGGCAATTGCCAGGTACGTAATATTTTACAACTGATGGAGACTTAACCAATACCCTAGGTTTTTTAAATGTCATTCCCTGGACGCAAAATTGTTGGTGTAAATTTACTGCGTGGAACTGCTAGTCGAAAAAAAAAAAACTAAAAAGGGTTGCGAAAATAGAGGAAATAACCACCATCTAACTTGATTGATAAACAACTTCCTGTCACCGTTACCAGTAGATGTGAGAGGAGTGCGGTTAATAGAACATAGAAGCTGCTCAGGGGTTTCGAGGGGTCGAACGATTTTAAAGATCAAAACAAGAGAAGTTAGAGATTTATCTTCAAAGTAAATACAATGACAACAGGAAATGAGTTAAAATTACATGAAATAAATCAAATAAAGCCAACTCACGCAGAAACAGATACAAGCGATGAAGAATATGAGTATCAAAGCTACGGTGGCCACCACAATTATAAATATACCCTTGGGTGTGATGAAATGGATGACCTTATCCCAGATTTGTGTTCCTTTTGTTGAACTTGTTGGAGTCGTTTTAGGCGCTGAAGAATAAGAAACAAACTCAATGACAATATGTCAGTAACATGTCATAAAGGTAGCTACCAGAGGTGCATTTTAAACAATGAACTGAAAATTTAACAATTAGTATAGACCACACAAGTGAATTGATCTTTCCGCGCGCGCGCTGATTGTCTAGTTTAGAAGTGAATAGTAGGTAATATTCACCGCCGGTCAGCCGATGAGGCAAAATGGCGCGTCAAGAGTTTCATTTCCGATTATTTTTCGGTATATTGGAAGAAATAGATTTATTTTTCGGTATCTGTATCTCAATTATTCACCTCCACTTCGGTGAATAATTGATAACAATTCCATAAGCGCGCGTTGGATCAGAGACGGTAAGTAGCCAACGAAGTGCGGGGCGCCGAGTTGGCTTTGACCACTCTTGTATCCAACAAGTGCGAATAGCATAATTGTTAATTATTAAATTTTATCAAATCCTGAATGTTTGGATATTCGGAGCTTTTTCAGCTCCGCAACAGTTGGCGCAATGCATTTCCATATAAGGAGACTCGGAATATGGGCTGATAACCGGAGCTGGCTGAACCAATCAGAATGCTAGAAATGTATCGTTGTTACTGTTGTTTTCAAAACGTGGCTTCCGCCTTGGAAACCTGGGATGCTCTTCTTTCGAAAAGCCTTCATTAAAACAAGGTTGTTCGAGTCGTCATAAGTCAAACGTTATTGCCCTGTGGCACTAGGGTTCTGCTGCACTGCATGGTTATGTACATTTGTCCTCCGGATGGCACAACATTTAACAAAAGGTACATTTTCAAACTGTAATGGCAAGGTGGAGATTAATACAAAGGTGCATCGTTGATTGAGAAATAATTCGAGCATAGAAAACAAATCAGACTAAATCGTCTCGCCATGTTTTAGAATCGCTGTGTTATGCGATAGCTAAAGCTCATTTTCTGTCAAATCTCTTTGCATGCGAAAAACATTGTGACCTTATGCGCTGTGATTTATTTGAGCGCGGTTGTATCCGCCCCCTTTAAAAGTCAGATCTAACCATGAAGTTAATTTGTATCATCTAGTATTCACTAAAGACTAACGCCACATGATTATGTTTTCGAGAATCCGACATGTAAAAAAATACTTGAATAAAACGATTACATATGAGAGGAAAATACAATCAATATGTTTAACCCTTTCACTCCCATGATCTCTTTAGAAATTCTCCTTACTGTCTGCCAAACAATTCCTATGATTTCGGTTCGGAGAATTTGGTATTGGATAATTTAATATTCCCCTTACTGATATTTTTCTTTCTTCTCATCACTAGTCTACTTGACATTACTTTGATATTTTAAGGAGAAATTCTGTCTTGGTCACTCATGGGATCGAGTGAGAGAGTTAAAGGCCAAAATTCCATCTTACCTGCTGTTGTTATGCTCGAGGATGTAACAAGTTTGGTAGATTCTATGAAAAGGATTTGTTGATGAAAATAAGTTAGTATGAAATTTCCCTAATATCACTGAGGACGAAGAGGGCTGGGGGAGAGGAGGAGGCTGTGTCCCACACCGTGAATTGTTGATACCTCAACACAATTTGAAGTCATTGAAAGTTTTATAAATGACCTTTGATCACCCTCAGAAGATGAGATATTTGGCTAGCATGGGATACGGTATTGCTGCCGCGTGGGACGTCATCCAGGATAGCGAACAAGAAGTTGTAATGGGAATGTCTTTTGATTTACAAAAGAGAGTGGAAATTTGTACTAATGAACGAAATATTAAAGAGTAGCGAACAAGAGGCATTTTCCCTGAACTTTCTCTAAAGCATTATTTTGAGAACTAAGAACTATAAACCGAGCTCGATAAACTGCAGTTGTTAGAATTAGACTATTTTGCAACTGAGAGGGGAAATAACTTACAAAGTGGCATTACCCACTCTTCTACGACCGAAGATCAATCACACAACAAACCTAAGAGGGAACTTTACACCTAGCTTTCGTCTTTACCTGGTACAACTGTAGTTGGCGAAATCGATCTTATATCATTCGTCTTGGCTGACGTAACAGCGACTTCAAAAACATAAGAAAACAGAGCAACCTTAACATGACGAAAGATCAACGGTCCGAAAAGGGAAAGGTAGATGAAGGAAAGAGAGGGGGGGAAAAAAGCGAAGAAAAGAAAAAAACAAGAGAAGAAGAGTGTCTTAACAGTATATATATCTACAAAAGGAATTTAAGTGAATTATTCTCATAGTTACGCTCAGGTAATGCAAGAGATCGAACAACAACAAAAAAAACCTACCAGTATTTGCCACAGTCGTTGGGGTTGCATTTGTCGACAATGCTAAAGATAAGAATAAACTTGTGTGATGATAACTTATTTAGAATTTTATTACCTAAAATAGCAAAACATACGCTATTCAGCTATCTTATTTTCGTACTCCGTCGAACAGTTATTTAACGGAAAAAGGAAACATATTCATCAAAGTTTTTTTCTTTCAAAATAGAGGTGTACCACATTAAGGTCGTGGTAATTTAGCGATCATGCTGAGGGCGCTTATTGATTAAATGTCGTAAATCCAAAACTAAAATAATTAAAACGGCCTGTCAGATGAAACATTAATATCACGAGGATCCAATAATAATTAAAAGTGACTGATGAAAGTAAACGACTAAATGCGCGGGAAAACGCGGGTGGCAAAGTTTTGGAATGTTTTAGATTTGCATCTGATTGGTTGAGATGATGGAAAGACATTTTCCTTTACCAGTCAACAGTTTCAACAGCATATAGATCTACAAAAGGAATTTTTAAAATCGCTTAAAAGTGAATTATTCTAATAGTTTAGCTCAGGTAATGCAAGAGATCGAACAACAAGAAGGGAAAAATCATACCGGTACTTGCTGCAAACTTTGTGATTGCACTTGTCGCTATTACTAAAGATAAGAATAAACTTGTGTGATGATTACTTATTAAGAATTTCATCGCCTAAAATAGCAAAACATACACTGTTTAGCTATCTTATTTTCGTACTAGAATAGTTGTTTAGCGAAAAAAGGAGACGCATCCATCAAAGTTTTTTTTTCTTTCGAAATAGAGGTGTGCCACAGGTATATGACGTGGTAATTTAGCGATTATGCTGAGAGCGCGTATTGATAGAGTGTCGTAAATCCAAAACTTAAATAATTAAAACGGCCAGTCAAATGAAAGATTTACATCACGAAGATCCGATAGTAATTAAAAGCGACTGATGAACGTAAACAACTAAATGCGCGGGAAAACGCGGGTGGCAAAGCTGTGAAATATTTTAGATTTGCATCTGATTGGTTGAGGTGATGGCAAGACATTTTCCCCCACAAGTCAACAGTTTCAACAACACAGAGATCTACAAAGGAATTTTCAAATTTAGTTTACAGTGAATTATTCTCATAGTCTAACTCAGTTAATGCGAGAGGTCGAAGAACAACAAGACAAAAACTTACCAGTACTCGCTGTAGTCGATGCATTTGCACTTGTCACTAATGTTAAAGATAAGAATAAACTTGTGTGATGATTACTTATAAGAATTTTATTACCTAAAATAGCAACAAACGCGCAGTTTACCTATCTTAATTTTGTACTAGAATAATTGTTTAGCGAAAAAGGAGACATATTAATCAAAGTTTTTTTCTTTCGAAATAGAGGTGTGCCACAGGTATGTGTCGTGGTAATTTAGCGATTATGCTGAGAGCGCGTATTGATTGAGTGTCGTAAATTCAAAACTTAAATTTTAAAACGGCCAGTCAAATGAAAGATTTACATCACGAAGATCCAATAATAATTAAAAGCGACTGATGAACGTAAACAACTAAATGCGAGGGGTCGAACAACAATAAGACAAAAACTTACCAGAACTCGCTGTAGTCGATGCATTTGCACTTGTCGCTAATGTTAAAGATAAGAATAAACTTGTGTGATGATTACTTACAAGAATTTCATTAAATAAATAGCAACAAATGCGCAGTTTACCTATCATAATTTTGTACTAGAATAGTTGTTTAGCGAAAAAGGAGACATATTAATCAAAGTTTTTTTTCTTTCAAAATAGAGGTGTACCACAGGTATATGTCGTGGTAATTTAGCGATTATGCTGAGAGCGCGTATTGATTGAGTGTCGTAAATCCAAAACTTAAATAATTAAAACGGCCAGTCAAATGAAAGATTTACATCACGAAGATCCAATAATAATTAAAAGCGACTGATGAACGTAAACAACTAAATGCGCGGGAAAACGCGGGTGGCAAAGCTGTGGAATATTTTAGATTTGCATCTGATTGGTTGAGATGATGGCAAGACATTTTCCCCCACAAGTCAACAGTTTCAACAACACAGAGATCTACAAAGGAATTTTTAAATTTAGTTTACAGTGAATTGTTCTCATAGTCTAACTTAGTTAATGCGAGAGGTCGAACAACAACAGGAAAAAAACTTACCAGTACTCGCTGTAGTCGGTGAACTTGCATTTATCGCTAATGTTAAAGATAAGAATAAACTTGTGTGATGATTACTTATTTAGAATTTTATTACATAAAATAGCAACAAATACGCAGTTTACCTATCATAATTTTGTACTAGAATGGTTGTTTAGCGAAAAAGGAGACATGTTAATCAAAGTTTTTTTCTTTTAAAATAGAGGTGTACCACATGTGTAGGTCGTGGTAATTTAGCACCTATACCGAGAGCGCATATTGATTGATTGTCATAAATCCAAAACTTATATCAAAACAGCCCATCAGATGAAAGATTTACATCACGAAGAATCAATAACAATTAAAAGGGACTGATGAACGTAAACGACTAAATGCGCGGATTCCCCCTCCCTGTATAATTTACTTTCCATCATTTTCGAACTTTGTTCAACTAATGATGAAAGCGCATGCTTCCATCAACTTTCAGGAATCTCTCTTTGGGTGAGTCTTCTTAGTTCGGAAAGAGTAACACAGGTTTTAAAGATGTCACGAGAACCCATCTTCATTTTTTCCAGAGGTTAAATGTGGTGATTTCACGAGATGCCGGTTTTTCTACAAAACTGTCTGAACCTATTGTCATGTAATCTGAACGCCCGTGGTGAAGACGAACTCAGAATTAATGTCACATGAATAATTTTAAGAAGCCTCAATCATGTGATATCCATTTATATAAGCAAAGGCCACTCAGTTACCCTCTTTAAATATTTTTGATGCGAGTTATGTGAACTGGCTCTAATCTACCAAGTCTCAGCTAACTAGTAAACCTCACGTGAAAAATAATATTGATATATTGCAAGGTTGCCGCACACGTTCATGGGGCCTTTTCTCGCCAAAACACAAGAGAAATAGACGCCAAATGAAAGTTTCAATTTGTTTATCTAGCTCCCGTGGAAAAAAAAACAAAAAACGTGTGTTTTTTTACAGACGGATTATTCTTCTTTCAAACAAATAAATCGCAGTGGGCTGGCCGTGATAACATTTGGGGATATGAAAGTTCTAAAGCAATCAAAGGCCCGACCCTCAACGAGATGTCTGAGAACATGGAGAGAGTTAAACGCTTTTTAAGCCAATAAACCATGGTATTGCATCTTAATATCTGATGTACAGATGAAGAGTCTTCGTTTGTGTTTGTGTCACAAAAAATAAATAATGGTTTACAGTTTAGTTACTTAATCATTAATTAGAAAAAGGAGCATATATGAAAAAAAGATGTTTTAAAATAAAGTGATACAGGAAATAAGTTATTGTAAAAGCATAAAAATTCTTAATTTTACATATCGGACCCCTTTATTGTGTTACTTCCGGGATAAAAATATAGTATTCAAATCGATTTAGTATGGTCATTCGACTGGAACCATACAAAACGTGTAGCTATTTCGAAACTTAGACGTTCAATGCTCGAGGCATATCAAATCAACCCCAGAAAGAAATCATTTAAATGTTTTTATGACTGAATGTACACCAATCTAGCGGATAGAGAATTTTTATTTTCACAGCAAAAGGCCACTTACTTGTAGTTGTACCAATTACAGCGGACAAACAGTGCATAACGAATACAAAGACAATGAGAATAGACGGTTGAGTTCGAAGCATCGCTGAATTCAGTGCTTTCACAAACTGCTCCTCGATTCTAAAGGAATAAAAAACTGTTCAAGTTAGTGCGAGAACGTGCCAGTCGAGATTATTGTATTATCAAGAGGAAAATATGGCGATAAGGTGATTACTCTTCGCTTAACATCGCAAAGAAGCGACGTTTCTAGACAACAACAATACGCTTGGGAACTTAACTCATCGACAAAACCTCGATTGTAAACTAGACTGCATTCAGCAAGAGCTTAGAACAGAATATTAATAATTCAGTGCTTACCTTTCGCTAATTCCAAGCACCAGCAAAATGGCCGCTCGCAAGACTTTCGTCACAAACCACTGTAGGCTTTTGCGAGAAAAAATTTATGGCTGATATTAAATGAAATTTAATCCGCAAGTCGTAACAAAACAGCAACACAGGAAATGAACGGTCCAATAGCAGCTGTTGGTAAAGGTAACGCAGTTAGCAGTCGTGGGGAGATCCGCATAAATCTGCGAGAACGAGCGTGTTTACCTGAGCAATAACTTTCACGTTGACGCAAAAGGCATTTGCCTATATAAACAGTTCAAAGACAATTAGGCGAGCTTACGCATATTGATGTTTTACATACAAAAGCTATGTCCCTCAAGAGACTGCATTATGTTATGCTTAAAAACTGCATTTCTTCAAAGTTTGATCGCAATCCTGACTCGCCCGGATCGATTCAATTTTATATTTTCAGATTATTTTAGTTGCTCACATGCATTATTCGAAATGTTTTTTTTTTTTTTGGCACGTCCATGCGCTTTTAGTGGCTGTCCGAAATGCTATTATTAGTAATGTGTTTGTTTACATCGAAAATTCAAAGATAAGCTCTATATTATATCATTCTCTCACCGGTATAAATATAACGGAGCCAAATGAACTCATCACGTACAAGGAAAGAGGAAACCGATATAGTAGACGCCGTGCACAATACACCATTTCTAAAAATAACAGAAGGTCAGATAAACCTCTCATGGGTATGAGTGTGTGGAAGGAAATGGATAAAACGAGAAGATAAAAAACTTCTTATGATCTCCGAGTGTTTTATCTGTTGCTTAATTTTACGGTTTAATATTATTTTTTAATATCTAAACTGAAAAAGCAAGGCACTAGTGAATGAATACGTAACTATTTTGAAGAGAAACTTATAATCCAACAATCATATAATTATTTATTTCTTCATTCATTCAGTTTTATATGTATTTATCAAATCATTTTTCTTCATACACCGACTTTTCAGTTTACTAATTCAGTTAATTTTTTGTTTATCTGTTCATTTATCGGTGAATTAATTCGGGAGGAAACTTCAAGAATCGAGGAAGTTGAAGGCGTGGAGTGTTAAGAAAACGAGGAATGGGAAAAAGAAACCAGGACACCCGGAATGAGGTAATAATGCGTTGAAACATGTACCGACCAGAATTAAAACCTATATTAGGGACCTTAACGCATCGCCAAGGAAGAATTCGATTAAAAAATGAATTTCTGCCTTTAATTAGAATTTCAGAAATGGTTGCATTTGTTTACCGTTTCATACGGCGCCACACCTCAACTTCAGCATAACGTATAAAAGAAGTGTTGAGTTCCAAATGGAAGTTAAAATAAAATTTGCTGTCACGGTTCCGGTTCACAGACGACGCAAATTGTGGTTATTTCACGTTGTTGTTTTGCGTGGGACGGCTAAAAATGTACAAAGTTTTAAAACGCACGTGCTGAGCTATTGTTCTGCCAATTAGATCTTTGGTTTTTACATGTCCTAGTTGCTGTCGCCGTCGTGGTTTGCTTAAGGTCTCTATTGGGAATTCCGGGGATCAGCCAGGAATTTGAATTGTTGAACTCTCGCCAAATCTCTGACAAGAATTCCATGGAGCGAGGATACCCATAGAACTAGGCTCCCAGTGTTAAAGTCCTTGATAGGTGAGCGTGCGTGCGTAATAGCAACCGCCACATAAAGAACGAAACTAAAAGCTCGCGAAATGTAAAGGTGCAGTTTTATTTATCAATGCACTTGTCAGATGAATTGGTTCCGCCTAATCTCGTGCAGCGAGGAAAATCTAAAATGCTCCAGCAATATAGGAAAACTGTTCATTTTTATCAATCTCTATAAACTCATCATCATCATATATTTCAACCCTACAAAATGCAATTTATGCTATATTATGTTACACGCGCAGCGTTCAAGCAAAATCGATCTGAACCCCCACCCACGTTCTAATGCAGCTAACAACCATTTGAATCACTGTGCTGTCGAGTTCCTGCATGACGGTAATCTCTTATAGTGGCTTGACATACACCTTAAAAATTTTTTACATCACGCTTTCGAAAAGTAACTACCACAAAACAAGAATAATCGTTTCATGTTCCGCTCTATTTCTACTTGAAGTTGACTAAAGCCGTTTGGCCAAATGCTCAAACGCAAGTACCAAGACCTGAAGACTTCCAACTCTTAGTCTCCCAAAGCACCATTGGCACCGTAGGTCTAAAAAAGAAAAGGTTTGCAAGGTTTTTTCATATACAATAATATATAGCTCATTTGAAAACCTTACAGGATACATAAAATGATAATTCCCTTGTTGAATTCGAGGAACTTAATTAGTAAAGAAATATTAATAGGTTATTAGGGATAAATAAAAGTAGTTGAACCAAAGTGCAAACGTGGAGCACAATATTCGATTGAGTCCTATTGTTGTTGATTAAAGTTTTCTTCACTATTCAGGTATCAGTTAGGACAGTTATCTCCAAAAAGGGAGTTTACCACTCAATTCATCACATAAACTAATAGATTCCATGTTTCCGTGAAACTGTTCAATAATAAATCTCAGATGACGTCAAACTGCGGTAAAAACAGAATAGTGGCACACGAGGTGCGGTTACATGTGTCACTTCTATTCTTATATCACATCTCGACGTGTTTTGAGATGTATCACCGATGAACGGACGCAAAGAAACATATGATCTACTTGTTATAAATAATAGAGAGCTCAAGAGCCATTAGGAACGATATCATCTATGCGTTTTTCCTCCAACAGATCATAAGAAGGAACTAAATGAATAAAAATGCTTGTTTAAATTAGTTTATTACATCATATAAAATAGATGCTCTAAGTAAATAGGCGACTCCATCTTGACTCGTGTTTCGCTTGCTTGGTAAAGAGAAATGGAAACAACTGCTACACACAACCCCTCCCCCCTCTCCCCAAAAAGATCGTAGGTAATACTTACAGGATTTGTATGCGATCCGATCACCCGTCTATCTATGGCAGATTTTTGACCTTGATAGCCTCGGTTTTTATTATATTCTCCTACGGATACTCTGTCGTAAGTATGCACATGTCCAACTTCCCCACTGGATATGAAATACATGTCACTGTCTCCAAGGATGGATCTTCTGTATTTGACCTGTAGTTCATGGAAAACAACATTGAGATTCTAGTCATTGTGGCTACAGATTCTGTTTCAAGAAAAATCTGTCTTTCATTTCCCGCTCTCGCGTTTTTGGACACCAGTTTGAACATTTGGAAATTAGGAAAGCGAGTTTTATTAACGCTGCTTTGCTGGTTTTGGCCCTATGGGCCTTTTCAAGGCGCGATCGCATTCAAACTTTCCCACTTCAGTGTGCATGCATTAACAAATAAAAACTTTCCCACTTCACCTCAAACTTTCCTACTTCACCTCAAACTTTCCCACTTCACCTCAAACTTTCCCACTTCAGTGTGCATGCATTAACAAATAATATTCAGGCATTCGGTGATTTAAACGCTGTATTATAAAACGACCTCAAAGCAATTCCCTTTGTAATTGATTTCAGCCTATCAGATGCAAGACTGAAACCAATCATTCGCCTTTTCTAGCGCTTGGGGCTGATTGCATGTATTTTCTTGGAGCTTCTTTATTCCCATTACTCGTTTAGAGTACTTTAATTTTGGTTTTACGACACTCACAAAAGATACTTACACAGAAGTAGATCATAGTTATAAGGAAAACAAGCGACAGACATCCCAGTAGAATCATGATAACCAAGGCCCATTCTGGTAGTTTTTCCACAGTTTCCGTTGTTGCCTCCTCTTTGACATCAATATTCTTTACTTTGTATGCTAATTTTCCATTTTCGCTTGCCTCCTGTAAAGTTTTTTTTAAATCATCCCCATCGACCCCGGAATCTTTGGCTAGAATGACAATGTAATTGCAAACTACACTTCCTTTCTTTATGAAGACAATCCTGACACCAACAAAGCCATCGAGGTTTTTGAAACCGTTTTCCAAGGTTCTCGTTAGGTTCTTCACCAATGACTTGTACTCCAGACTACTTTGATCGTTATATTCCTCAATAAAATCCAAATTAAACGTCACTTCCATGTTGATCAGTTTAGTTCCTTGGGGTGGAAGAGTTGGGCGTGGCTTTACATCAGAGGTACTGAGCGGGATAATTTGAGACGATGGTGTAGCGTTAACTCCAACCGAATTGGTTGCGTTTTTCATAGACATTGTCACGGAAATCTCGAGATGCTGTGTTGTCATGGTAATCAATCTCCCGTAAGACGACTTACCATCTACTGAGGAGCTCTTGACAAGGGTAGACTGGTCAACATTGGAGGATTGTACTATTGCAGAAGATGACACTCTGACGATTTTCTCTGACGATTGACCTGGAATTGCAAGAGACAAAAAAAAAGGAACAAATTGATTGATTTATTGATTAATCGAGAGACACAATAACTTACTTAATTTTACAGACCAGCTGACCGTCTCAAAGACCCATTGAGCGATTCACAGACTGACTTATTATCTCGCTGTTTGACTAAAAGACATGACATTACTCAGTCAATAAATCGATCATTCAATCAATTTTTTTTCATTTGATCACAACTATATTAACGTATCATAAACGTGTTGTTCATCATCTCCTATCAATACATACGAAAAAAATAAGTCATTTTACTATCTTAACACGATTTAATAAATTAGTTACTCAACAAAGGCCTCATGTCTAGCGTATTCGTCTTTTTATAAAATTAATTTACCTGATGCCGATAGCATGGACACTGAAGAAGGCATCTGATTTGATGCAACTCGAGCAGTCGTGGAGGATGAAACTTTTGTCAGTCCCATGAAGCCTGTGCTGGAGGAAGGAAGGGGGCTGTCATAACGTGATGACATTGTGGAGAAAACCGAAGAATGAGCGCTGGAAGAGGTTCTAGAAACATTTACAGAGTTAAGGCCACTATTCACAAACTGAGAAAGAGTCAAGGTGGACGAGGTTACTGAGCTGTCCACACCCTTCGTTGGTGAAACCGTTGGTGATTTTGTCATTGATCGGGAGATAGTGGTTTGTGATTGGTGCATATTAGAATCGTTCAAGACGGCTGAGGCACTTCTCTGACTCACAGAGGGAGATAAAGTCTCAACAACAGAGGCGGTGTTTATGGATGTGACAGTAGCTGATAGATTCACTGATGTGGAAAACACAACTTGTGCCCAAGTAGAATCCAAATTAATGGATTTCCTAACAGAAGTAGAGACATTAGCTGTGGCGTGTTCGGCTGTTGCTGATGCTCTGTGTGACTGGGAAGCCTTCACGCTGGCTGAGGTAACCGAGTTTGAGCCGGCCATGCTGGTCTCACTAGCTTTCAAGGTCGTTGTCCCTGTTGTTGTATCAACACTGATTTTCGAGGAGGTCTGTAAGCTAGCGTTGCTTGAGCTTGCTTCATTTTCTGTAATAGAGACTTACATTAGAAGCTATTGAAAGGATTACGCTACTTACAAACGAAAATTTCTCAGGTAGTTGTGATAACCGAATGGGGAACAAGGATCTTAGTGCACAGCTATAATATTCAACAGTACTGTAAATTTGTTTCTTGTCATTTTTCCTAGAAGATTTTATGTTTTTTTTCCCGTTTCGTAGAAATTCCTCCGAGGAAGAAATGGGGGATGTTTTCATCTTTGTCTTTCATGTTTGTTTGTTTGTTTTTAGTTAGAACTTAGCTTTTCATAAGCCGTCAGTATTGGGCTGTCTACTGTCACTTTTGTGAGCATCGGTCAGAACTTGTTAATACTGATTTATAATGATGAAGGTTGGTGATATAGAAATAACCAAAAGAAGCAAATGTTCGAGTACATGCCGTAAAGAATGACTTGAACATTTACCTGCTTTTACTCGATTGTTTTTTTTTGAAAAATGAGTTACCAGAACGATCAGTCTTAAAAATTTCCCGTATAACAATATAATGGTAGTTTTATGTTCACTGCTCTCAATAACTAAAATCAGACCACTGCTGAATGCCAGGAACTTTCTAAGGCTGTCTGATTCACTGCGTATGGCAATTAAAAACCCGCTCAAGTCTCAGGTGCAAGCACTTTCCATTTTATTAGTTTTTCTTCCGAAACGTCTGACAGAAATTCACAGAAGTTGGTATACAGGTTTTTTGTATAGGGACACCATATTGACGCCATATTGGATCCTTCTGAGGAGCGCAAGTGAAAATACGGCTGTCTCCAATTGATGCAAATTACTGGCGCCTAATTTTGCCCTGAAAGAGATTAATTATACTCTGCAAAAAGATAGAAATTCGCATAGACATCTTTATCATGCTTTAATTGCTCAGGGACAAATACCACACCAGAAAATAATAGCCGTGTTCTTCTGAAACGTGATTCCTTATTCGCTGTCATTTTTAAATAGCTTCGGAGCTCTTACAACTTTGAAACGTCACATCTTATTACCCTGAAAATCCATGGTGACAAGGTCATTTGCCTCTTGGAAGTATTAAAGACCTTTTAAAATAGTCTGCGAATTCAGATTTTGTTTCCCGCTTGTGTAATTACGTGAGACTTTCACCTGTTTTTTTTGGTTTTCAATGTTTGTCAGATTGTTTTGACCAATCATAGCCCAGAAAAAGACCTACACCTTAAGGCTGTTTCCATTAATTCGACGGCAATAGCAGAAAATTGATTGATACTCTAAATGTTTTGGCGTCAAATGCATGCAAGGGTACTATTACGAGACTAAAGTCTCTGAGATTCTGCATAAAAATTTTTAACACTTCCAATAAGTTCCCCAAACTATTTACGTATATATAATGCCCTTAGCACCTTGACGCTCTTTAAATCCTGCCACCCCTCAAAAAAGACGTATTTTTTCCTCAAATCAAGCAAATCTGCATAATTAGTTAAATTTTATGACGTCACATTTCATCCGAGAAACATTCGTAATCACAAAATGTATTTATACATTTACGACAATTTTTGCAATCTAGCCAGTAGATAAAAAGCGTTTGCAGCTGTAGAAACATTTGTGTTTGCCGGTCAAACCTAAATTAAAAAATCTTTCTTTTTTTGGTGCAAAAGTTTGCTTTTAGGTTTTCAATCTGACACTTAAGACATAAGACAAGTGTCAGTTACATTTTAACAGAAAATCTAAGATGCAAATTATGCTGAAAAAATTCCATTTTCCGAATTTTATTGCTCTGTTTTAAAACAGGCTTTCTTTTCAAATTGAATGCATCAAAAACTTTTTTATCCGACTTTTCCTTTACACTACCCTAAACAAAAAGTAAAACTGAAAAAAGTTCAACAAAGGATAATCAGTTGCAATTGTTTTACTTCTGGTCAACAACAGCCATTATTTCGTAAATATTCGAAATATATTTTCTGATGCAAAATGTTTCTTACACTTAAGCCTACTAAAAAGGAATCTCTCAAAGAATTCTCGTTTTATTGATACAGATTTTCTCGTTGAGAATGTTACAAAAGGCATATGTGTGCCTTTTTTATTTGAAAGGACTGGATTTAACTTAAAAATTTAAAACAGAAAACAACAAGAAAATTAGCGAGCGATAGTTCTATGTTAAAGCCATGGTTAAAATTTTAACCCCCTACAGGTTGATTTTATTTTTAAAAAAAAATCCTTGAAAAGCGATGTAATTAAAAGACCATCTATTCGCTCCACGGAAATTTCAAAGGCTTTCGAGCAAAAATTTATTCACAAATCACTTCTTAAATAAACGTTTTGCGGGTTTGTTTTAATTTAGTTATTCATATTTTTCACACCCGAACATGTTCTTTATAATGCTGTGCAACTTTAAATTGGACCTTGAACCTCCTTGCCTTGTCCTATGAACATCACGAGTTGGCGTAAAATTAAAGCACAGGCTTATGATGTCGAGAAAGATGAATTCACAGTTTAAATTGTGATACGGTTACGTCGACGGTTCCGTTGACGGTTCCGTCGAATTTCGACGCGAATGAATTCAGTTGCCATAGACTATATCGCCAGCTTACTGAAAGCAAAGCCTTAAGCTTCGTCGCCTTCCCCCCGTGACTTGAAGGTTAGACTCGCTTAATGAAAACAAAAGCAGGCGAGTTGGGTATCAAGCCCGGTCCGCTCATATCACTTTGCTATTGTGAGGCGTTCTTCGCGACATAATCATTGACGCTCTTTTATGGCAAATGCCACATACAAGCCTTATGCTAATTCACCGACTCAATTTTTTAAATTAATGACCGAAGTAGAAGGGAAAAATTGCAATTCAAAAAATCTGTGCTACCGTTTGCAACGATCAATTGGCAAATTACGAACAGTCTACTTTTCTGAATTTGAACGTCAGAAAAAGAAAAAGACAACGAACGCACGTTTTCGTTTGCCTATCGCGACACTCAAAATTAACTGTTCATTTCCTTCCTCGTGAAAAGCATGTAGTTGTTCTCCGATTTGCTCATAAAACAATTTGATGGCGAATTGACCAGACATAGTTAACCTAGCTTACCTCCAAGCAAAACGGTGACGGCGAGCGTGTAAACCACAACTTTCAAGCAGCTCATTGTGAATGAAAATGAATTTCCTCCGCCTACGAAAGCTGATCGGGATGATGCGGAAACGACGAAGATACGTTTACTGCTTACTGCTTTCTGCTTTCTCTTGGTAGCCTTCTGTGGCACTTTTAGGTTCACTGTAGGAAGCAGACTGATATGGCGATCGATTTCAATGGTCTCAAACCGCAGTTAAGTATCCTTTACCAGTTGCGCGGGAATTGTAGGCGACCGATTTTGTAATGAACCAACTCTCGTGCCCACATGACTCTCTCAAGAGAACTAAAAAAATTCAAATTCTCGTAGTTTTGACCGCATAAAATTTCCATAAAATGAAGGGGTGTAAATGAACTCCGTGGACCCGAAAATTTGAAATGACGCTTTATGTAATGAAACACCAATACCACCAACATTTGACCAAAACTATGTGTATTCCGGCGATTTTATCTTAACAGCTTAGTCTTAATTACTGCACAAATAGAAAAACAAAATATTTCAAAAATTCAATTCCAACGCATCAAAAGATGTTGGCTAATTGTGGAGATGTAACCATCCCTTAACAATCTAACAATGGCACTAGTGGAAACCGTTATAGTTTAATCTATCAAAATCGAGAAACTTGTTAAGCTTTGGACGTTTTTAGAGGCTTTTAGCCGCTGCAGGTTGTGGTTTTTATGATACTTCGATATCTGAAATGTAACTGTAAACAAAAAATACAATACCATGCCAGGTGTCAGTATTTTGTAAACATGGCGCCGCAAAATTTTATTGCATGTAGATGAAAAATTGCTGTCTTTTCTACGAAGTCAAATTAATTTGAGACTGCGCCCACGCATTAAATACCTCACGTACGAAAAAAGATTCTTCCAATCTTACATCTCCTCACTTAATAAAGGAGACGATTTTCAAGGCAATTTGTAATTTTTAAATGGTCTTTGGAGGTTGTACGAAAACTTCAGGTGTAAACAAAGGCCCTGGGAATTAGATTAATTAAACGTAATTACGTTTACACTTGGTATTTGTGAGGCAAATTGGCAGGTTTGTAAACTGATTATGGATTCGCTCACAATAATTCAGATCAAATTTTAAACTTTCAAATCCTTTGTTTTCGGCCACACTTTCCATACATTTACTCCATTTAAGCAACTAGGTTAGATACAAGAAAGTACGAGTAGTTTCTGTCACCAACAAAGGGCGCGTATGCTCTACCGTTCATGTTCATAACAGCCAGTGGTCCATTTTATTCGCTGATTGATGTGGAACTTAAATTTAGAACTCAATAAAGTATCTGTCACAACGACAATGTGGGTGCGGTCCAAACCGTTGAATAAAAATCGTCTTCTCTGACTTATTCCGATTTCCTTTTCATCGGATTGAGCATGTCTAAAATCTAATATTTTCACCCATGGCGCAGACCAGCTATTGAGGGAATACAACAAACTTGGCTTTTAACTGATCAAGAAGGTTTACGTAGATTTCCACCCTCTAAAATTTGACCCCAACCAAGACGAGCTCACCCCATCGAAAAGTGAGTTCTGGGTTAAGCTTTTCTACTCTTGGAATTTTCCTCATTATAAAACCTATATACTTCTTCACGAACGAAATTATCAAAAAGATCGACATTCGAGCAAACTTTTCGCTGCAACTCACTCTCATAATCACAAATATGACCTGTCCAGTTACTTTCTGCTTTTCAATCATTCACTAGCGATTTATGTTTCTCTACAACAACGGAGGACAAAGTCCGAAACGTAAGAAAACTTCATTATCCAAAATGGAATCGCAATTCTTGTCCCTGTTCGAGCGCTTTTCGATTGATTTTCGTTAAACTAAACAAAAATTTTATCTCAACAGCCAATCTAACAGAAGGAACATAACCAATGAGAACTTAAAGCAAAAACAAGAAAGCCGCCTAAAGCGCGGTAAAATGCGGTTTTAGTTTCGCATCTGATTGGTTGAGAGAGTAACGCGAGTTTTCTGAGCCAATCACAGGAGGTAAAATTACTTTGAGGCGAAGTAAAGCAAACCAAAGGAATGGTGGATTGCTTTCGACACTCAATTGAAAATCCTACACTACTCTAATAGTAACTTAATACAAATCCCTCACGGCTTTTGACAATTTTTCCATCCTCCAGTTCACAGATTCTTATCTGTCGGTGATTATATCAAGTTCAATCATTTTTAAGATAGGGAGTGATGCTGGTCTGTTTGGATTTGAATCAAATATCAACGACATTTACAATGTACTTCCAGAAACAGATTTTTTAATTACAACACTCATATGTGAAATATGAGCAGGACACATTATCAAAAATAACCCGTTTCTTTATGTATACAATTTCATGAACATAACTTGAAATATAATTCACAATGCCAAGCTTAAGTTACTCGCGTTAAAGCATAAAATTTTCTTACAAACGACTTCTTTGCAATCAAGTTTACAAGATCTGCCTTTTATCCTTACGCAACAACATTTTTTTTAGAGTTTCTCCAGATATACCAAGAAATTAAGCCAAAGGTGTAGCTTCTGAATGAGATGTTAAAATGCAGAACTAATATCTTCTCTAACGAGACGAGAATTGCGCATTGCAGACTTCAGTCAAGAAGAGAGTTGCCTGTTTTTCTGTAAAAACAAACAGTCAAACTTAAAACCAACGAAAGATATAGAGATATTTCTATTGGATTAACCCTTGACACCTATAGTGATCGGCATATAATTTCTCCTTAAAGTAATACTGCCGAATCATTTATTGAGATCAAGAGAATACAAGAAATGATCGCCAACCTAAGGTTCTTTGACTGTTAGAGAGACTATGGAGAATATGAATACTGATACTAAGGTGTAAAAGGGTTAATACACTGATGCAAGGGTTCTTAAAAATACTTATTGCACATCTTAATAAACAACAACTTTATCACAGGACTATTACAAGAAAAACAATCCGATCAGTGAACGTAAAAAAGGTGCATCGCCAAACCAGCCATAATCAAAACAAACTACCATTCAAAGTATAGTACTGAATGATATTGAAGAAATTTCCAAAACACGAGACGCATTCCATTTCCACTTCGCTAAATTGTAGGTTGCCAAAATGTAGAGCGTTGCATCAGATTACGAGAAGCATACTAATCATTTTGATGGAAGTGGAGGCACCTTAATGGTTACCGTAATCTTTGATTATATTAAACTTAAGAGCGTCTTCTTTGCCACAAACTAACAATGAATATTATACCCACGTTTAAAAAAGCAAATTTTATACTATCTTCATCATATCTTAAACAAGTCGTCTCTTTATACTTCTAGGCTTAAAAACATAAATTTACCACCTAATATCAGCCACAATTTGTACATCAAGAAAGCAATTGATACAATAATAATCTCTAATTCCGTTCAGAATGCTACGAGCAGAGGCGAGACATGAACAAGTTAAGCTAAATTACATGACCCATTTTATCGCTTATTTAGAACATACTTTGAACAAGCAAATGCCAAGTCTTAGACAATAAGGAAGGACAGTTATAAATTGTATCATAGCGTGAAAACCGAGGAAATCGACTTTTTTATGAGAACATATCAAAGCAATTCACCAAATACCCGCCCCTTCTCTCACCTCTTACTCAAACAGCTTTGTTCCCTCTTTTTTTTCTCTAAACTAATACTCTACCCACACCTAAAACAACAAGCCCATTATTTTAAAGGAAACGTCCACTAATGGAACAAGCTTTTTGTTAACAGCGGAATGAATAGATTTGTTAAGAGGAGATTCGCTACGTTAAACTGGAAACAAGCCAGCCAATTTGCTGCTGAACGACATTTGGAACGCACGACGTTGTGTGATTGCTTCTACCATTAACAAACAGTTATGGCACTTTTACCCCAAGGATATACCCCTTGGAGATTGTCAAAACAATAACGGCAGCCAAGAAATGACACACTTCCAAAATGTACGCCCTGAAAGAGTTGAATCAATTTCAGTATCTGAACAACTTCGCACCTTCCCCTCCCCTAACACAACATTAACCCTAACTTGCTTTCAGTTGATTTTTGTTGAGTTAAGAGAGAGTTAGGGGCGCAGTAAGTAAGACACTGACATCGCTCCACACAGTCGATACTTGTTTCTTATCTTTATCCCCACTTTTGCCAACAAATTCTAATTCAACAGAATATTTTCTCTTCTTTAACAAATATTTTTTCCAGTGAATGATTCCCGTCAGAGTGAAAGGACATGGTTAAGATTAAAAAAATTATATATTTTTTAAAACTCCCGTGTCTTTTCAGCAAACTTCATACCCAGCGTTCATCAGCGGCAGACGACCAGGACAAGTGGCCATCACGGTACGTCTCTATGACAACGGTGTCTATGACAATGCAGTGACATAGGGAATGAGAGAGTTCTGAAAATTAATCAGCTAAAATTAATATTCCGATTCTAAACAAAATGGAAAATGGAGACAAACTAAAAGCGATGAGAAAGAAGCACAATCTAAGGGTGGTATGCCATGCTAGATACTCTGACATCAATAGAGGTCTGAAAGGAAATGGTAAAAAGGAAAAAAAAGATTTTATAGAAAATCTGGAAAGAAGGATTGTTAATATAAACGAAGATCTAAGGCTTAAATCAGACATAAACTGTTTATACTGTTGTACTCATGCTTTTGGTTTTTGCAATATCTAACCCGCTCTGAGCTAACATTCTAGCAAAATGTTATGTATAAGAATTATCGTAACTAGCATAGCATAGCCAACCCAAGACAATCAGTCTGAGATGAGCTTCTTCGAATCAGAAGGAATAAATATAAGCAATGAGCAGTTTCTATTGCGGAAAAACCAGCGAATTGATTCATACTTCTGCTCTTCCATTCAGTGTTCTTCCCATATCCACTCCTACAGCATGTTCTTTGGCTTTCATCCTTAAAGCGGCAATACTCGAGCTGTGACGCTGAGGACTCTGTAACGCGGGCTCGCGTTCCTCGCAATAAGATTGTGACGTCATAGAGCCGGGCGAGCCATGGCAACCGTCACCAGGAGAGTGACTTGCGCGTTGCTGTGGAGCATGTGCGCAAGGTGGTAGTTGCTTGGAAGGGCCGTGTTGTGAAATGGTGACGTTGGGATGTGCAATTGGGGATCTTTTCATTCCCGAAGTTGACGTTGTCATGGCACCCACTTTAGCGCAGTGGGGAGGAGACTCCGGTGAAGGCGACCGCGGAGAATGCCTGTTTGGTGGTAACGGATGATGCACGTGAACAACAGGCGCATAACTTGGTACAGACATGTGATGAGGCATTGGACCCGCCCCATGCCCTGTCGGGTTCATACAGCTGTTAGATGGACGAGACCAAGCTGGGGCCTGAGGATGTCGATCGTAAATGGGTCCCATGGTGAGTGACCGTACTGGGACGGGGACTGGGGCAAAGCGTTCACGCTTACGCCATTTGGCTCTACGATTCTGGAACCAAACCTAAAGATAAATGTTTAAGAGAATTTCAACGGTGAGTTAAAACTTTAAAAAAATATACATCATTTAAGTAACACTTGACTGAAAATCTACCATGCAAGACCTAGTAACAGACATGAAGATTCCTGTTCCTTATCAATGCGTAAGTTTGCAAAGAAACATTCTCTTCAAACAGAAACTGGAGGGGAATAGCTTTGGCTGAGGGACTGGAGCTGATTTGGAGGCATAATACAACTACGCGAATTGCTATTTCACAGCCCCTAGCACATTTCGTCAGGTTAACCCTGAAGGTTCACTGCTATTAAGTAATGCTCCTGGATAAAGGCAGACACTACAAGAATTAAGTATCCTGTCTAAGAACACCACACAATTACCCTGCAGGGTAGAAAACCTAGCCCTCTTTGACTGTGCTCTATGACTAAAGCCTCCTCATTTCTAGGTAGGATAAGAGAAGACTAGAGTTTTCTATGCAGCCTACGTTCTTGCCCAAGAACACCTAAAATTTAACAGTGCATTGACATCAAATTCACGTCAAATTTCGATGGCAGGTAATTGTTTGGCGACAATATGATGCGAACTTAGTCTGACTGATAATTCTACAAAAGGATCACGGCTTGAGCCATCTGTTGGAGGATGTCGTGAGAAATTTTCATGCTGTCAACGGGTGCAAACAAAAAACTCTACAAAGAAAAAAGGACATCTCTTGAATTCAGCAAATCCCCTTTAACACCGACAAGAAAATGAAATAAAAAAATTAACACGCAAATCGAAGGCAACTCCATTTGTTTCCAATTTGAACTGGTAACTTAGGAGAGACAAAACACGGGGGGGGGGGGGGGGGGGGGGCACTCCCATACAAAAGGCTACACGTCAATTGTAAAGAATAGGTTTTAATCCCTAGGAGCGATTAGCATCTAATTTCCCTCCACAGTATCACCCCTAACGCAAACATAGGAATAAAGGAAGTGATCGCGAATAGACCAGAGGGACATAAATATAGGTGCTAAAAACCGACTCGCTTCACGAGAGGACATTGAAAAATCCTCTCCTGGTTGTTCTAATGAAAACAGAGGACTAGAACATTAATGGGCTGCACCTTTGTTACTGGAACAAAAAATTCAAAACGTTTCTAACTTGCATTTTTCACACCCTAAAGCAACCAAGTTTCACATTCTTCGAATAAGGAAGCAGAGAATGGAAAATTCAGTTATTTGTTGTTGATTCATTCCATGGGAAATATTATTTACAAGACAAAAATAGGAGCAAACATAGAAAAACTACTTAACCCTGATTGTTAATTTATTTAAAATGAAATTTCTGTTAAAAGGAAGGTCAACGTCAGTTTGACACGTCAAGGCCTCCTGTAGAGAATACAGCAGAACAGAAGCCTTTGCAAATTTGTCACAGACGAAAGAGGCTATTGGCTTGTGGAACTACAAGTGTCCAGAAATTCATTAAGTGATAAGGAGGGTAAGGCTTTTGCCCCCATCATTCAGTCATATGTTCTCTCGGTATCTTCACACGTTTTTGACCCTAAATATAGACATAAATCCTCTGAAATACAGGAGGTTGCATGGTAAACGCATAACGAAAAAAGGCTTTTAAAGTGCCAGAATAGACATGATTTGTTCTGAAGAAAGCAGTAAAAAATACAACAAGGAACACAAATCATTTTCATGTGCAAACAATGGCAAAGCAATCGTCGATTTTCGTTTCCTTTTGCTACTTCCACGACTGTGTATTCACTCACGCGGAACTAAAGAACAGATGGTTGTGTCTCGTGACACGCCCTTTGAGGTATACATCAACACACAACAATTTAATCATACCTGAAAGAGTTAGCGCAAACCTTTGTACACCATACACCGGAAATTTGCGTCTTGTTGTGAATAGATATATCTGTTTACTGCGGGTTTCCTGCCTTCAGGAGCACGAAGGGTGATTGCAATGTCTAGACAAAAAGGCTCCAGACATTTTGTAAACAAGCCTTTACATCAAAAACCGCACATATATTCTTTAGCATTTTCAGGAATACGTTGATACGGTTTGTTATGCTAGTTGCCTATTTCAGAAGCTATCGCCTTCCATGGTGTCAATGAAAAAACCTCCACCACATTTCGTAAGATGGAAAAATTTGACCTCACAGAAACGCACTTCTTTGACTAATTCACTTTAAAAAGTCCGAGTCCATGTTAGTAAAATTTTCTGGGGAAAAACCAAGCCAGCATAAATTCGGATGGAGTAGAGGAGAGATCTTACGATAAGATTTCCTCAGCGCATGTTAGAGTAGGTTTTAATTAAGTTCTAAATTGGGTGCCTTAGTGCACGGCGACGGCTTGAAACATCATACTACTACCCCTAGAGTTTTTGTTTCATTGCATTTAGCGTTCTCATTTTCCTAACTGCCTGTTCTTGTATCAGAGATCGTAGTCCCAAAGTTTGCAGAAGGAGTTGTCAATGTGATACAGTGCCTTAATTCCTTTAATTCACTTAGATATTACTTTAGAAAGGATCCCGACATTGTTGAGAATCTAACACCAAAACTAAATCCTTTTGAGGTACTCTGCATCTCACCGGGACTGCTAACGGTAATAATACAACAGCCACTTCTCTAACAGAGCCCGCCATTTCCGTGACAAGTTGTACAAAGCAGAAACGAAAATTGACTAATCACGAAACGGGAAATATCACGCGATAAAAACACAGCAGGCAAGAAAACACATCAACATCCCGCTAAAGCACCGCAAACACTAACAAACATTGTTTTTCACTGACCGAAAGCAGCGAATCTTCACACACAAGACAAGAGTTTTGACAGTTTTCTCAAAATAGCACTTTGGCCAACAGAGGAATCACTTAAAAACACAAATACACGTAGGACACAAAAGATGACGCGGTTTCATCTCAGCTTGCCCTGAAATCCGCCAAGATGACACACCGTGTGGCGGATGGTTACCGCAATCAACGTACGCCTGTCTTTTTAAACTTCGCGTTTACATGTGTTTCAAACATAATTTCCTCTCACACTGCTTGGGGCGATGTACATCCGTTTAGTGCACATTTCAAAACACCCACTTGGGACAATTTTTCACCTAAAAGACCTCTTGAAACTAATCTAAGTTTGAAAACCTAAACGAACTTTTTGTTGAAGAAAAAACGCAGAAAAAATTTGCTTTTTTTTCAGTGAGCCGCGCAAATACTACATTTGACCTTTGCTGCTAAGTTCCTATCACAGGGTCTGAGGTGTGTTATTTTAAGCGACTATTTACTGCTTTAACATCTCAAACATGAGCTGTAAACGTCAGTTTACAATGAGATAGTCTCCTAATCTTGACATCTCTGCTAACGGAGGAGGATTTCTAAGGATTACTGTACCACAGTCTCATAAAAATTGACCTGGGGTCCATCTCCAACGCGACAAACATTAATATATCAAGTTATGCTTCAAGTCCGCTTTAATTCGACATACTTAGCTTTTACAGAGTCAATCGCATGCGCGGCTCTCAGAATATTCATTTGATTTTCCCCAGCTTTTCCACCTCCGAAGCCATTCTTAAAGTCATCTTAAGTAACTTTTACGACAAGTTTTGTCTGTTGCTACAAAATCATCCTATATGACGAAACCAAAGACTTCGAGTTAACAAAAGCAGAACGGGTAAACAAAGATTAAAGCAAGGATCAATTTTAAGTGCTTCTCAACTATCGTTATCAAGATAGATTATGGCGCCAAGTGTAAATATGAACGGTATTAACTTAACGGGGGAACTAAGCTATTGTCGTCTGTTTGTGCTATTACCAACGCTAATTCAAAAAAAACAAAAGAGAGATTCCTTTTCAAACTTTTTGAGTGCAAAGTCTACGACTACCTTTTCCTGTCTGTTCACGTTGTGCTCTTTACAATTATCACTTCAATATCTCGTCGATTTGATGTAGCCTGGACGACCAGTCGATCAAAGGATTCTAATGAGGGCATATCATATCATCTTAGGATGTACGCACCGCCTTAGGGTGTACGCACCGCCTGGGTTTTCAGTCAACAGTTTCAAATTGAACGGGAGCACGCTTGTGAAATTTAGTCCAACTTAAAAGGAGACGAAAGCAAGCTGTCACATTTAAACGCAACAATCCTTATCGACATAATCAATTTACTAACGTGAAGGTTTACAGCGAATAATACTAATTAAAAAGTGAGAGACTCGTTAAGATTTATTGTTCTTGAAGACCTTCAAGAACCCACAAGGGCTTGCTAGGTCAAGCTAACACAGCATCAAAGTGATAAAAGTTGAGCGGCAAGGAAATATCCAGCAGGATTATCCTTGAATAATTTTTTCAAGCTCGACAAATTGTTCTTACTTTGTGGCTTGGTTAATTAATGGCTTTTGCAGACAAGAACAATGGTTTCAGTTCAAAGAAATTGCAAGATTATAAGAGAATTATCACTATGTTAAAACTGTGCTGTCGTGTTAGCTTAGCAAAATTCTGAAGATTTAAAAAATGAGATTACCTCTTTTTTTTACTCGAACTTGTTTACTTCAAAAATCTGCCACAAAAACCATAAAGCTGGATAACCGACATCGGACATATGACAACAAATATCTGCGGCTGCAAAATCCCACTGATTTCGAAGTGATCCAGTGTTTCCTTTGTGCCAACTTGCACAACTAATCCAGATTAAATGTTGGAATTTGTCTTCGGGTAATTCAAATACATTTTTTTGGTGCAAAAAGGAACGACTTTGAAATACACAATAAAATGTCTTAAATTGATTAACACTTAAAATATTTTCCACAAAAAAGGAGAAACGCTGAATTGGATAACACATAAGGGAATAAACACTACAATTTTAACACTGGTAATTTTCGGATTTCTTTAGGAATTTAGGTGTATACCAACAAAAGTCTCTTTAAGCAAAACGCGAGTTTATATTAAAGAGATACAGACCTGTAGATCTTCGTGGGTTTGCCCTAATCATTATTGAACAAATAGACCAGCGAAGAGTTGAT